CCACACTAGTTCAGGCCCTCACCACTTCTTTTGGACTATTACGATAGCCTCCTCTTGGTCTCTCTACCTAGAGAGAGTGATTTTTTTTTTTTTAGGCAATTGGGGTTAAGTGACTTGCCCAGGGTCACACAGATAGTGAGTGTCAAGTGTTTGGTCTGAGGTCGGATTTGAACTCAGGTCCTCCTGACTTCAGGGCTGGTGCTCTATCCACTGTGCCACCTAGCTGCCCCGAAAGAGTGATTTTTCTAAGCCCAACCAGACCACCCTCCTTACCTAAAGAACTCCTATGGCTTCCTGTTGCCTCCAGGATAAAATATAAAGTTCTCTGTTTAGTATCTAAAGTTTTTCACAATCTAGCCTCTTCCTACCTCTTCAATTTTCTTACATTTTACTCCCTCTAGTGCACACTAAGGTCCAGATATACTGGTTCACCTGCCATTTCTTTTTTTTTTTTCTTAGTGAGGCAATTGGGGTTAAGTGACTTGCCCAGAGTCACACAGCTAGTGTTATGTGTCTGAGGCCATATTTGAACTCAGGTCTTCCTGACTTCAGGGCCAGAGCTCTATCCACTGCGCCACCTAGCTGTCCCTTCACCTGCCATTTCTTACATCCCACACTTTGTGAATCATTGCTTTAATTGAAGGAATAATGTATCATCATTCTTTACAGACTTTGTTTTCATCCAGGAGATTAGACCAAGATTTGCATGAACTTAAGACAAAAGCAGTGTCAATGTTTGGATTAATATTTTAATAATTACACACTTTTTACATTATGAAAATAAGTCATAAATAGTGTAAAAATAATTCTGAAGATCAACTTCTCACAAACTAGGGACCCCCTAGACAAGTTAAAAAACTCAAATAAAACAAATGGAAAATGGAAAACCAAGGCAATATTTTCAAACCAAAAATCAAACCCATGCTGGTTTTTTTCCTGATTCAGCAAAGTCAGACATCAAGGTTACAATGAAGATAAAATAAGTAATCAAAATGCAACTTTGCTATTATTTACATAACTGGGAAATCCAGATTTGTGCCATATTTACAGTGATAAGACACAACATATTCTTAATATAATCAATGACATGAGACTGGCCCATAGAAGGTTTCAACCATAAGCGGTGTAAAGCTTGCTAAAATACTTTTTGCATTTTTCTCCTGTCATGTATCGATGAGATCACTTGTCTTCTGTAATACAAAAATAACTGCACATATTGATGAACTTAAAAAAAGTAAAAAATACAAATAAAATATATTTTCCAAAGGAAAAAGATGGTCAGATACATCTTTTACAAATGTTAATCAGTTGCACAGTTTTCTATTTTTCCAAACATGTACACAAATAAAAGAATATCCACAAAAGTGTTAACAATATGTAAAACATCCTCCATGAACCTAATTCAATAATATTTCTGAGATTTGTGTAAGTACCAACTACATTATGAGAAATGCTGATAATTTTTGGTTAAACATCAACAAGTGATGAAATAAAAGTTCTAGGTTGAGTAAGGTACCCCTGTTTACCAAGTAAGGATAATTCTGTTCATCAGCAGCGTGATTAGCTTTTTAAAAAAACTACATTTAAAGTGGCATTATTTTTCATGCTATTCATTCTGTAGTGGGTTAGTACAAACTCCACCAGAAATTAAGGTTGGAGGCGATTCCCTACTACGCGTCTCAATGAATCCAGCTAATTAAGCCAATGTTTCAGGGAAATGGTAGGAGAGGCTTAGCATCCTTATTTCCCTAATAAGTTAGCAGGATTGTAGTAAATGCTTACAAATGTTAATAATACCTTAGATGTACTATTTTAATTGCAGCATACAACACATGATTAAATCTGTTCACACTTAATTCTAACCATAGGTTCCCACACAGAACCAAGCTTCTAGAGGTACCAAAGTTTTCAGTTTAAAAAATGAGAAATGAAGTAAGACTCTACAGAGATTGAAGGGTCTCTCCTAGATAATCTTGAAGACTTGATGATAAAAACCAAACAAACAATTTGATCACCAAGCAGTGGAGCTAATGAAGCTTGAAATGCTGATATCTGTTTGCCCACCATGATGTTTTCATTTTTTGGAAGGTGTTCAAACAGCAGAACAAAAACATAACCCATTTCTGCACAGGGCCGTATTTTTAATAATGTACAACTAGAAAATGAGAATTTCAACTTTTCATGCTACATCAGCAAGATAAAGAATGAGTTTGGAAGGGATCAAACATTTCAAAATGCTATACACAATGTTTTCATAGTTGCAGGCATGCTGATTTGACCACTTTCCAAACTTGCATTTATACATACACTTTTGCTATTGTCAAAAAACATGTATATGAAGCCAGATATACAGGTACTCCCTATCTTATCAAAACTATACGCTGATAAGAAATTCACCAAAAAGAAAGGAAAAAAGAAAAGAATTTTGTGTATAGCACCAACAACCTGTGTCATAGATTTAATTTTCCATAAATGTTATCCAAAGAAAAAAAGGCGAGGGTGGGAGGAAGGAGGAAATATTTCCTCAAGCTAGATTGAGACTAAGATAAATTAAAACCAGAGAAAATGTATACATGTTTGTGTCCTGTGTTCAAGTGTGGGTAGTACATGTCAACTTGGCCCCTCTAGAGAGGGACTCTGTTATTGTTATTGATTGGAGTGAGTGTGGAAGTTGATAAATGAATATAAAAAATAAGAAATAAGATAAACCATGAGACACTAAGTGAGAGAATACATGTTCTATGTAAACACAAGTCAGTGAAACATTGTGGCAGTTGGGAGGGCTGGTCATTGAATCCGCATCATTGCAAGTCTGCCCATTTTAAAAGGATTCCCCCTCCTCTCCTACCTCCAAGCTAGCTGAAGCAGGCTGCCAAAGACACAAGACATGGTCCATAATGGAGCTTACTTCCTCACTCTGCTCTTCCAAGAAAAATAACATATTAGCACTAAAGTAAGGTCAAAATAGTTTGAAAGATAAAACAACCAGTTCTGTGTTTTCAAAGGATCCTCTTTTTTATAACTAGACTAAGCTTGTTTTCTTTTAATATCCAAAACTTCTTATATGTACAAAAAGACCTACAAAGAAAATAGGCATCTTTCCAAAATCTGCATCCAAAGACATGACTAACCCATTAGATCTCTCTGCAAGTCACAGTGAGAGAGACCTTCATGTTAACAGAACTTCTTATGCAGTCAATGAAAAGGATAACTACATCTTTTGTTGCAAGACAAAAGCGTTTGCCACATTTGCAGATTGGAAAGAAAAATTTTGGATGAGAATTTGACTTGTCTTCCAGGTGTACTTTATGTCTATATACTAGGTGTTCTCCCTGGGCTGAGAAGTACCTTTGGTCATATTCCCAAGCACACAGAAATCAAGTTCACAGCTTCCTTTGTTCATTGAATGAAAAACAGTTTTGTCAAATCAGTTACAAAACTGTATATGCAGATAGGTTGGGAACAGCCCCTTGAAAAATCAAAAACTTAAAAAAAAAACAGAAAACTATACTGAAGGCATCCCAATGGGGGAAAAGATTGAGAAAAGTTTCCTTTTGTTCTGTTTTCAATCTAAGCAAACTCTAAAGAATGATTCATCTCCATTCATTTCTATAAGAGGAAAAGAAAGAAAAAATAACAAGGATGAAATATCCCTGTCAAATTCTTATATTTACAGCTATTTTTTTTAAAGATTCCAGAGTCCTAGCCTCTTTAGGACTCTGTTCAACACTGGCTTAAGACAAATTGCTTCAGACAAAAAAGGACCTCTTTGCCCCATTCACCCAAGTTCCCTCCATACTAACCTAAGTCATAGCACAGAAGATTAGAAGATGCTCCTCAAAGACTCCCAAGAATGCTGGACAGGGCTCCAGGGTGGAATGTTACTGAAAATGTTACCACTCAGATGAATTAATCCAGTGGTTTGATTACCCCCCCCACCCCCTCCTGGAAAGAAGTCAATGAAGAATAAGAGGAATGGGGGGTAAAAAAAAAAAACAGAGAAAAAGAAGAGGACATTTGGTATGATTGATCATTCTGCTACATATTGTAAAAGAGAGATCGTGGATCCCCTCTGAAATGCTGGCAACTGAATAAAAAGTGAGATGGAGATCATCTGTTTTTCCTTTCGGTTATTGAAAACGCGTGCATGGACTGGGAACTTCCCCATGAAAGGACACACACTCAGGAGGGGATCTGAATTACGGCATGGCTCAAAACTATAGACCTTCCTCCACTGAGACTTGTTTTGAGGTAACCTTCCCATTTTGAATAGCCAGGAAAGCATTTCCCTTTCAAAGCATCCAAGAAATAGACAGCCTGAGATGGTTAGGGGCTTTGGGACAAATAGGTGAAAACAGATGCTCTGTTTATGAAAGAGCAACTCTATCTCTGACATATTTCTGATAGCTCAGATTTGGTCTGCGGATAAGACATTCAGGTACGTAACCATAATTATAAAAGAATCTGAATACAGACAAAGCTTAGCTCTAAATAGAACCATGAGGAATAGAAAGCAATTCTGCACGGTTAGAGGCGCCTGGAGCCATGTTTCAGGCACAGAGTGACCTTACATAGTATATATTTACCATATCAAAGAAAGTCAACATGAAAGCACTGAAATTATGAAAATGCATCACTTGGATGCTTAAAAGTTAACAAAGTTAAGGGTCTGAGCCTCTTTTCTTCTTTTTCTTCGGCTCTTTCCAGCTGTCCTCAATGGGGTGGTCACTAAAGGCCAACTGTGTCACAGTGCTGGAGAGGAGAGAGTGTCTTTTTTCGAGTGTGAGAATACTCAAAGTTTAAAAAAAAATGTTTTTAGAAACAGGCTCACATGATTTGAAGGACTTCCAGTGCTTAAAAATTGGTCACAACAAATATAAAAGAAAATGGAAACAAATAAACAAATACTTGGGAGGGGGCAAGGTACAAAGAAAAGGTGGTGGCCAAAAGAAAAAAAAACAAAAACAAAAAATCAAAAGAAATGAAAATATCATCAGTTTCCAAAACCCTGTAAAAAAGGTTCAACATGGATTGTTTCTCAAAAAATACACTATCCAATCACATTGCAGCATGGACTGTCCAGATGAACTTGGCCACTTTACGCTGTAGGAGAGTATGTGATTTTGACTTCTCCTTATCAAAGCCCGTCCTTTCTTTAGCAACCCTATCATGCAACATGGTGACCGCCAGTTGTCCCATTCCTCAGAGAGAAGGTCTGTTGTTTCAAATATCTCCTACCTCAGAAGAACTGCTGGACATCTCCGTCATCTTTCCAAACCACCCATGTTTTCAGTTGTGGAATTCTTTTTTTAAAATTTATTTAAAGATAAAAACTTTTTTATTCTCCTCTGGGTGTTTGCTTTTGTAAACCTCTTCCCTACTCAGTCACACAAGAGACAGCGCGTGATGCTGAACTTGTCCGCCTTGCACGTCTTCACTGCCAGGAGCGGTACAAGGAAAACTGGTGGTGGGCAACAGGCCTGGCACCTTGTGTTTTTACCCAAGGTGGCCCATGGGACCCCACAAAACTGGAAGCTGTCGCTCTGCAGTCAGGACTGCAGCTCCCTCAAAATACAAGACCTTTTTCGTGTTCTTGCTCCACGGACTTATCTCTTTTTGGCAATAAGCCATGGTGTGACCCCCTTGGGAATGACAAAACGATAAAAGGAACAAAAATGTTCAGTGACTGGGATCAAAGGTATCAGCAAGCATCAGGTTAGCATCGGGCAAGCAGGTTGGGCACACACTTCATGCTTTTTTAGTTTATCTCAACAGGTAAGGGGGGTGTGGGTCAATGGTGGTGGCCGAGGTCAATGTGGATGAGAAGACATTCAGCTCTACATACAATCAGTCAGTACCATACATTTCATAGCTTTTAGTCCATATTTGGTCACAATTTCATGTAAACGACTAGTTCATAGAACTTATTGTCCATGGGAGTCCAATGGAAGGGCAAATCATGGCAGGCACAATCACACTCTATCTCTGCTATTTCCACATGGCTACATGTCATCATACCAGAGAGCTCTCAATCTGTGAGTTTTCAAGTTTCTCTCCACATGGTTTTCTATACTGTCTAACTTCGGATGTAAGTGAAGAGAAGATGTACACATGGCCAATTCAAACAGGTAGAAGCAGCTACATGTAAACATGTCTCAGACTTGTAAAATCTATATTTCATTTTTCAACTATAAATACAAAACGTAGAGCATTATATACACAACTTCATGCTTGTAAGGTTAGATTCATCACTGCAGAGAAACAAACAAAAACAATAAGTAATATTAGTAGTCTGGAAATTAAGCCACGGAAAACTTGGTGAACAGAACAGCAATTGAGAGACTAGAGACTACTGTTTATCAGCTAATCCCCAACTGGATTACTTCTAGAGGAAGCTTCCTCTTTAAGAGAGCTGAATACTAGGCAGGTGGGTAGAACAATGCATAGATCACTGGGCTTGGGAACAGAAGATGAGTTCAAATATGGTCTCAGATATTTGCTAGCTGTGTGACCCTGGGCAAGTCACTTGACCTCTGTTTCAGTTTTCTTATCTGTAAAATGGGGATGATAATAGCATTCATCTCCCAGAGTTGTTGTGAGGACAAAAATGAGATGAAATTTGTAAAGCATTTTGTAAATTTTAAAGCACTATTATTACTAAGGGTAGCTAGGTGGTGCAGTGGATAGAGTGCCAGGCCTAAAGTCAGAAAGATTCATCTTCTTGAGTTCAAATCTGGCCATAGACACTCAGTAGCTATGTGACCTTGAGCAAATTACTTAACTCTATTTGCCTCAGTTTCCTCATCTGTAAAATGAGCTGGAGAAGAAAATCACTTCAGTGTCTTTGACAAGAAAACCCCAAACGGGGTCACAAAGAGTCAAACACAACTGAAATGACTGAATAACAAGAAAATGATTGCTTATGAAATCCTACTTCTGGTTCAAAACCAAAACTACTGGCTATATTCTATGTGTCTAGCCCTTCACTATGCTAGTCCAGCCCTCTCAGGATCTACGAAAACATCTGTCTTATGTGGATGGCTTATCATTTCCTTTTGTAATTAAAACATCTTCTTTTAGCCTCTGACTTATGGAGTCATTGGAATCACATAGTATAGCAAAAGTATAGCATAGCAAAATGCTGAATTTGCAGTCAGGAAGATATGAGTTCAAACTCTGTCTCAGCCACTTAGTAATCGTGTGATGTTGAACAAGTCAGTTAACATCTATAAAATATGGCAGTTTGACTTGATCACCTCTAAGGTCATCTTCTAACTCGAAATTTAGGATCCTTTGATCTATTTGAAAGGATGGGACAATTTCCTGCTGTATGGCTTCATTCACAATGGAGACTTATAACTGACTAGAGCCGGGGTGGGAACTTTTGGCCTTGAGGCCACATGTGGCCCTCTAGGTCTTCAAGTGTGGCCCTTTGAGTGAATCCAAACTTCAAAGAACAAATGCCCTTAATAAAAGGATTTGTTTTGTAAAATTTGGACTCTGCCAAAGGGCCATACCCAAGGACCTAGAGGGCCACATGTGGCATTGAGGCCAAGGTTTCCCACTCCCGGGCCCTAGACCTTCTCATGACTCTCTCTCTCCTCATCTCCACTTTTTGGCTTCCCTAGCTTCCTTCAAGTCTTGGTTAAAATTCCACTTACTTCAAGAGGCTTTTCCTGGTCCCCCTAAAGAGTAATGCTTTCCCTCTGATAGTACCACCAGTTTATCCTGTATATAACTTGTATGCTCACAGTTATTTGCATATTGTCTTCCCATTAGATTAGGAGCTTCCTGAGGGCAGGGTACCTGTTATTAACTTTCTTTGTATCCTCATTGCTAGGCAAAGAATACTTATTGACTTGACTGACACCCTTCTCCTGTCTCTTCTGTTAGAATGTAAGCTGCTTGAGAGCAGTAACTCTCTCTCTCTCTCTCTCTGTCATTTGCATTCCTAGCATCCAGCATAGAGCTTGGCACATGTTAAATATTTAATAAATGCTTCTTGATTTATCATACAACCAACTTATACTAGCTATATAATCCAGGGCAAATAATTTATTTAACCCTTCAGTGTCCCCAGGCAACTCTCAAAGAAGCTAAATTACTAATGAGTTGCCAATATGCATTAGGAAAGAGAAGTCCCACACTGAAAATTCCTCACATAGATGAAATCACAGGTCTGGATCCCTCACTACCAACCCCCAACCTCCAACACCACCAAATATATGTAGAAAAGTAGTATGCATTCCCTTAAGATAGAAATCAATAATATTTTAAACATGTTAAACTCATTATAAGAAAATGTTTCCATGAAACCTCCCTTTTCCCCAAGCTCACACTAATCTGTAACTATGATTTAATTGTCAGAAAAAAAGAAAACCCTTCAAAAAATGTAGTAGTGTTCAAAGGGTGGTCAACTTGATTGACGGGTTCAGATTCTGGCTCTGACACTTTTTAGCTTTCTTCTCTCTCATCTCAGGCTCCTCATTTCTTAAATGGGGATAATATTAGCACTACCTACCCTAAAGAATGTTATGAGTAAAGCATTTGTAGACACCTTACAGTGATCTATAAACAGGATTAATTATTAGAGGTAAAAGGTCCTGAGGTTCTAAGTTTTAAAAATCCTCCAAAATCCTCAGTAAATCAGAAGCTATCACCAGCCTGGCCGGGGCCTGTAGGAAGTTCCCATCCTAGTACGGTTTGAAGAAGAAAGATCTTTACATATCCACTAGTTGCTTCTTAGGAACAAAATACAGCTATTTGATTGACCACTCAGGGTGCCCACTTCATCTCCTGGGGCCATTTCACTTAGAAATGTGAACCTATAAACCGGAAACAAAAGTCATTTGAACAAAGATCAATTGGCATTGAATGAGCTCAGTGCCTTGTACATTCCTTCGTGCACAGCTCAATACATGGCTTCTGAAAGACTGAACAAATGAACGAACAAATTACTGTTGGAAGAGGCCCTGACCAAAGAGACTTGTCTAATTAATCACAGTGATTTATAGTCTTGTGATACTGGCTCAGGTAGGGTTTTTTGATTTTGTTTTGTTTTGTTTTGTTTTTTATAGACCTGTGATTACATGAGTATAGGGAGCTTCTGGTGAGGAAACTTTCTCTATCAAATTAGCACCAGCTTTGCACCTTATAAGTCTTAAAGTATGCCCTAAGGCAATGAAAGGTCAAGTGATTTGCCAAGACTCACACAGCTAGTATGTGTTGGAGGTGGAGCATGAACCCATGTTTTCCTCACTCTGACATCAACTCTCCATTCACTACTTCATGCTACCACTCAAGAAAATGACTAATTATAGAGTGCCGGGCCTAAAGTCAGGAAGACTCCTCTTTTTGAGTTCAAATCTGGCCTCAAACACTTACTAGCTGTGTGACCCTGGGCCAGTCACTTAACCCTGTTTGCCTCAGCTTCCTCATCTGTAAAATGAGCTGGAGAAGGACATGAGGTCATGAAGAGTCAGACACAAGTGAAACAACTGAACAACAACAGCAAAATATAATAAATCCACATAAGCTCATATTTATATTGAGTTTTCCATGTTAATCTCTTCTTATCCTCATTGCAACCCTGGGAGGTAAGTGTTGTTATTATCCCCCATTTTACAGATGAGGAAACGAAAGCAGAAAGAGGTCAGGTGACTTGGCCAGGATCACACAGGTAGTAATCATCTGAGACTGGATTTGAATTTGGACCTTCTTGACTAGCTATCACTCTCAATCCATTGTGCCACCCTAACCAACTCATGGTTCTATTTCTTTCAAAGGCATACTGATGCTACCAGACATATGAGCTTGAGGTGCAGGCAGCCAGGTGTTGCTAGACAAAAATAAATATATTTTGAGTAGGTTAGAAACTTAGAGAAATTAAACCTTTCCATTTTCATATTCAAGGCTTGCAAGCTGAAAGAGCCAATCTTTTGGATAGGATTAAAAATCATTATAGTACTTAAATTACAGGGAATTGAAAATAAATGGTAATTCTCCACTGTATACTATTGAAGTACTCTTTGAATGAACTATGATGGTCAAAGGGTAGTTTTCACACATAAGAAATAGTTCATGATGAGTCTACCTCCTTGAGAATGATCTGATCCCAAATGCAGCAACTTATTTGATAGCTTGAAAAAGGAGTACAGGTAGGAGTACTAAATAAATGAAGTCATCAACAGAAAGGCTTTGTTTTCCCCAATCAATTGTATTTCTTGACCAAGTCGGTGAAACTTTGGTTATGCAAGGAAAAGAATTGCACAGGGGCTGACTCACTTTCAGAAGTTCTGGAGTGAATGGAAGCTAAGAGCTCTTTTCTATGCCTCCAAAAGCCCACATGGCTCTGGCCTTCATGAATGTATAAATGAGCCACAGAAAATTGGGGAAATGAACCAAACAAATGCTGACGACACTGGCTTCGTGGTTTAATTTCACTTACTCCTTTTCTTGTTCAGTACTTTTTTCTACCTCTTTAGTTGGATTTCTTCTTTATATTTATCTAGTGATTTTTTTTTTCTAGATCTGGACCTGTGACTGAATTGGTATAGAAAACTCCTCCTACTTAACTATTCTTCAATTTATAGTCTGAGATACCTCAGGTACTAACAGGTTAAATGACCCACATAAGTCCATATAGTCAGAGGTGGGATTTATTAAGGGGTGGGTCTTGAGCCAATCCAAGGTTATATTTCTATTCTTTATGCCATTTGCACTCTCTAATTAGTGCATATCATCTTTTATAATGATTGTTCTTTCACCAAAGTCCATCTTTGATGCCTTCTCATGGTATGGAGGAAACCCTGAGTTCTTAAAGATAATACTTAGTGAAATGCCTGTTTCCTCTGTCTGTCCTACCAAGCTGGAGAGATTGTGTACAGTCCCAGAAATGGATTGTTGTCCAAGAACCAGTATAGCTAATTTTGAAAAGCCTCAGCATCAGCAGGTCAAGCCATCAGATGATCAAAGGGGAAAAAAGGTTATTACCTTTACATTTTCTGCCTGCTCTACTTTATAACTTATAGTGACAGATGATGAATGTTTTGGACTCCAAAGACTAAGGTGAAGAAGGGTTGCTATCTATAGGGTACAGAAAGTTGGATGAAATCAGCCCTCTTTTGATGGATCAAATCATTATTGTATTTTATTAAATGGCTTAACAAGCGTATTTACTTTGGGTTTGTGTTTCACAGTATTGCTGTGAACTAACTGTACAAAAAATTTAGTGGAATTATTTGTAATTAACTGTACAAAAAATTTAGTGGAATTATTTTTTCCAAAAAATGCCAGCATCAGGTGGACACTAAAAATGAAAAGAAGGATTTTCAGAGGCTTACATCTACTCTGAGTATTTTATATTTTCAAAGCTATCTCTTCAAAGCCAGGAAGGTGCAAAGTCTTTTAACATAAGCAAACATTCTATGTATGTGATACAGATCTGAAACAAAAGATTAATTAAATAGTTAAGAAGTCCATGGTGTTTTGGATATTTTCCATGTTCATCTAGCTAAACACAGCATATTTATTGGAGCAGTTTGTCCACACAGTGGTGACTGAGGGCAAAAAAATGGATTTTGAATTGTAAAGTTTGCGAAGTGTTTAATACATATCTCATTCGATCTGGGAGGTAGATGCTATTATTATCCCCATTTTAAAGATAAAGAAACTGAAGTTACAGGACTTCCTTAGGATGTAGGATCTACACAGCTAGAAAGTATTTGAGACTGAGTATAAAACTGTTTCTTCCTGACTCAGCTCCAACACTCTACAACTTTACCACCAAGCTATCTCAAAGTTCTAGAAACATAATAAGCATTGTCCTGGGCACAGAGACCTTCCCTTAAATGACAAGGGGTGTTTTCAGTGGGCAGCATACAGTATAATTAAACAGTGTTGTTGCTATTCTTGCTGTCTCATGTCCAACTCTTCCCATTTTGGGGTTTTCTTGGCAAAGATACTGAAGTGGTTTGCCATTTCCTTCCCCAGCTCATTTTACAGGTGAGGAAACTGAGGCATACAGCATTAAGTGACTTGCCCAGGGTCACACAGCTAGTGTCTGAGGCCACATTTGAACTCAAGTCTTCCTGACTCCAGGCCTGGCACTCTATCCACTTTGCCACCTAACTAAACAGTGCTTACAGGTAAAACAAGTCAGCACCATCAGTTCTCAAAATGGAATTCTGAATTAAGGGTCACTTTTGTTCCACTATATACCAGTGCCTTTTCTTTTAATGTATAGACAAAATCAGTGAAACTAATAAGCCATGGTACAGTGTTATAAAGGTTGGCTCTAGGGTTCCATCTTTGCCACCTACTACCAAATGAATGAGTAAATGAATTAGCCTTATTGGGACTCAGTTTCCCCATCTGTAAAATGAGAGGTCAGATTAGATGAATTCTGAGGTCCCTTCCAGCTCTACCTGTATAATTCTTTGAATGAATGGTTGCACGCCTTTAAAAACATCTTAAGTTTGTCTGACTTTTCGTCCAACAATCAATGTAGCATTGAAGCTTTTAGATTTTCTACCTGCAGTGATTTATAGCTCAGACTGATAGAGTTCTACCATTTTCAAAGCCAGTGATTTATCCAAGCAATGTTTTACTCACTGCTATTAAATATATATAAAATGATGGAAATTGGGAATATTTTAGTCAGAGGAATGTTGGGGGAGAGGCAAACAGTTACTATTAAAATGGACGGCCTTTTTACATGACAAAGTCAGCTTCAAAAAGGTAGTTCCTAATGAATGTCATTGGTAAGAATCAGGGACTGTTTTATATCTCAGTTTAGTGTGGCGCCCTGTTCAATAACCCATGAACAAGCTTGCATAAAGACATCTTTCCAGAAGAGACTCAACTTCATGCTTGTGAAGGTTGCTTTAAAATGCATGAAAAAGTCCAGAAAGCTTTAGTCCATCTCAAAGCAAAGGAAGAGGCCATCTTAATAGAAATACTCCCTTGATCTTACCTTTTGCCAACACCCAGGCATCGGTAATCCATCCGGCCCCTGTTCCAAGAAGAACAAAAAGGACATTTCTCAGTACCCCCCAAAGGAGAGACAACTTCATAGTCATGCACAAAGTCTTAAAAAAATGACTGCTCTAACCCTAAAGTTTGAGTCTATACTTCTTCCTTTATTTTTTTTTTAACTAGGATTTCTTTAAGTAGCATATACCATTTCAATTAAGATAAAGGAAATTCAGATTTCCTCTAGAGAGGGAATGGCTATATCTTAACAGATAACATGAACTAAAAACAATGATTTTGAAAAGCACACTAAGAAATTGACAAATGATTATTATTATTAATATTTTTTTTTTTTTGCTAGGCAATGGGGTTAGGTGACTTGCCCAGGGTCACACAGCTGGAATTGACAAATTATAGTATGGTTCATCATGCCCTCATCTTTAAATATCAAGTGCTGTACTGCAGCTGTAATTGGAATGTGCTTATCATTCCATTATCTTTATTAAGCTTCTGATTCATCTATACTGAACCCTCCCTGATCAGAATAGTCTATGCATGATAATGATAAATGATCAATGCCTTATCATTTCTGTCTGAAGCTTATAATTCACAGCATGCTTAAGATCATACTTCCTTTCATTTTAATTTTTCCCTCTTTAGATCCTCAATCACAGTAGAACCTACTCATCTAATTGAATTAGAAGTCATGCTGCAGTCAAAGAATTCTATTCTCCATTCCTAATCTGTACATGGGTGTGCTGGAGCAGCTTGAATTTGGCTTGGGAAAGTCAATTGTTCAATTTTCAGTGTGGGTATTTATATCTCAGAAATTGGCAAATGCTAAAAAGGAGGTTTTGATTCACTGTTTTATTATTAAACTTGAGAAAGTGATGGAGAAAATTTAAGTAATGCAGATCAAACATAAAAGTGCAGGTGAATATCCTTCCTCAAAGAGCTGGTTGTAAACATTTCTTAGCACACCATTGTTTATATACTTTTGGTACATTGTACAGTATCCCATCTATTAGAAATTTAGAAGGTATTAAATATCCACTAGGTTCCTTACTTGTTAAATTTGACCGAGAAGTCATCTAATTTTTAATTGCAGGGAATTTTTTTTCTATTTCAAAATCCATTCTGCTTGTAAGTATAGACATGCTCCAGATACTAATGATACTACCAAGACCATAACCTTTGGTATATTATGAAAGCATGCTTGTGTTTTCCCCATGAAAGATAACCATGAAAGATCAAAAGCAAATAAAAGATTGGACACATTTTATCATAATTCTTTAAGTAGAGAATTAATATGGTCTATTCTGAAAAATCTGATCTTAAGAGCATTCACCTTTACAGAAACATGCTTAGCTAACAAATCATAAAATAACATGCAGACCAGGTATAACCCTCCCCCCAACCTAATTATAGAATAGAAGACTTCAGGAAATACTCTTCTTTTAAAAATAAAAATAACAAAAAGTAACAAAAAAAACTAAAATCCTTAAAAATATCTTTAGGTATTGGGAAAAATTTTTTAGCATTGCCAGATTGGTACTAGGAAAAGGATCAATGGAAGAGTTTTAGTAAAAAGAGGAATTGGGGTTCATGTTAACAGAGAGTAAGGAAGTACGATGAACTTTGTCAAGTAAGTTCTACAAGGAGAGACCATTAAATTGGAAATGTTAAGCAAAAAAGAGAGCAAGGTATTTGGGCTACAGATCATTATCATCTTTAGAAGGATGATGAAATGACCCTGTAATTTTTTTGATCATAGAGACTATGTTGCTATTTCATTATTACATTGAATTCTTATACGTAATAATGCTAACAACACTAGTCTGTCAGATCCACCCCAAGAAGGGCAGTGTCCAGAAGAGGTCCCAGACTTATCACACTTGAAGTGGGAGATGAGTAAAAGAGCGTCCGACCTCTATTGGCCCTCAGGTCCATCAATGGGATCAGCTCATCCAATCCTGGGAAGCAAGAGTGGGCCGACCTGGAAGTTCTTAGAACTAGGGAGGGAAATATGTTAGGAGGAATATGGATTCATAGGCCCAAGTCAAGGGGTCCTGGCATAGGTGGAAGAGGAGATTTTTTTCATCATTATGGGCTACATTGACCAAGAGAATCTGATTATGCTAGATTCTCCTTCAATGGACCAGCCTGACTAGTGAGGCAGGGCAAGGTAAGAAGGTGAACATCTTTGTTTAGGATGGGAGCTTGGGCACTTCCTGATAAGCTGTGACAAACCTGAGGATCTGAAATTCCTGACACAGAAGGGTGTGTGTGGGATGCATCAATGAGGGGCAAGTAGAAATTTGGGGCCAAGATGGAGAGGTCCCTTTTAAGCTGGGATATATATACATACATACATACATACATATATATATATATACACACACACATACATACATATATACATACATACATACATACATATATATACATATAATTTATTTATTTATTTATTCATTTTGGTGAATAAGTTTTCCGACCTTGGTAGGCTTAAGGTGACATATCTCTAAATGAATGAGCCTAGGTTGTTGTAGGTGAAAGGTTTCTGCCTGGGGCCTCCATTTTCATGAGCAATATTGAGGACTAGACAAGAAGAAGCTCAGCAAATTTCATGTCAATGGACCTAGAACTAATTTAACATTAAGGCCCAGACTGAGAAGTTTATTCAGGAAAGAGACAGAGCAAATACTCTCTAGTTCTCCAGAACTAGGCTTAAACCAGAAGAGGCTTTCTTTGTGGACCTTATTTTTTTTTAACTTTTAACACTTAATAGTGCCTCCTATCTTAAATCATATGAGGTGGTTTGCTATTATTGGGAAGTAGGGACTTAGATCTGGAAAAGACCTTAGGGGTCTTCTAGCTGAGCCCCCTCATTTTACACATGAGGAACCAGAGATAGAGAAAAGGGAAGTGACTTGTTCAGGATCCCACCACTAGTAAGTGTCTGAGGCAAGACATTCAGGTCTTCCTGACCCTAACTCTAACTCTCTAAACACTATACCATCTATCTATAAAGAAGATTTTTAAAAAACTTTTTTTCCCCTGTAGGGAGTCAGGAGTTCAGTGAAATCAAAAAATTTGGAGTGATATGGAAGACTGAAATCTGAAGGAGTCACTGGTAAATGAGACATAAATTTGCTGAAGGGGGTTAAAACAAGGCAAACCATGAGGTTTCTGGGTAGAGATGATCTGTCCCATCAGGTGTTTTATCTCTTCCTTGAAAACTAAGAGCCTTCCATTCCACTCTAAAAAGTAAACTGAAAATAGACTTTTAAAGCTTAACTTTGACTGTTTGCTCTTTCCCCCAAATAGACAGGAGCTTGTGGATCAAGACAAAGATTTATTTTTCCTCTTTTTAAAGAAAAAAAAACAAAATAAAAATTAAATTATAAGAAAGTAATGTTTATGGCCTATTTCAAAGGACACAGAAATATGGCGGCCATGTCAAGTGTGAGCAAAAGACCAGGGAGTTAATTCACATTCACTGATAAAAACAAAAACAAAAAACCCCCAAACCCACACTAGTTCTCTCGAGCTTGCGTTAGTCTCTGGAGGAGCCAATGATCCATGCACATGCATGTAAATAGGTCGAACATGTAAAGCTTGCTTTAGAAAGGCTCGCTTTACATCACTAGAGACTGGTGTGAGATCACACAAAGGAACCACATGCAGGATTGGTAGGAAAGAGAAATACTGTACCAATTGGCAAGGGGCATCCAGGCCATCCAGGCCAGGCTGACCCGGCTCCCCTTTTTCCCCCTTAACTCCACGGAATCCCTGTTTGACGAAGATTAACTTGTAATGTTACTGACAAAAGAAACATCTTTAAGCACTGAGGCTGCTGAAGGAAACAAGAATTTGTAGCCATAAAAGACCAGGAGAGGAGCAATTCTGGAGTAGCTTTCAATGGTTGGTGGATGGGAATGAGACCTGAGCATAGCTCCATGAAGGAGTTAGTCTTTTAAATGACTACCTTTTTTTAAGCTCCAAATCGAGATGCCATCCAGCCTATGTTGTTTTCTCTTTCAGTCTTACCTGTGTGTTTCAGGGGGTCCATTTTAAAATCAATTGTTTAGGATTAATACACTCAAGGTACTAGACTTGAGAAGAAGCAATCCTGTGATAAGAGCAGATTCCTTAGGACCAATTAACATCTGTAATAAGTGACTATAGCAAGATACTTCCAGTATGCTCCTCTCCTTTTGTTTTATTCTATGCCTTATTTTACGCTAGACATCAGGACAGACTTCTGTGAATGAAACATACCAATGGGCAAGGTGCATCTAATCCAGGGGCACCCTGTTCTCCTTTCTCCCCTTTGGGCCCCTTTTTGCCTTTCTTTCCCTTTTCCCCCTGTGGACACAATAGTTTGGATAAAACTATTTTATTAAAATAAAACAGATTTCATTTTGGGGCAATGGTGGTAAAAAATATATATATATATATACATATATATATTTAAAGGACATTTTTAGCCAACAGAAGCCTGAACAGACATTTACCACTCTGTTCTGGATGGGATGAAGAATATGTGGAAAACCCAATTGTACTAGCGGACCACATCAGCTGCCCAGATGGGTCCCGGGCCTTACTTGAGAGATTTGAGCAATCTTGAAGTGTAGAACCAACAGACAGACAAACCAGAAGGACAGTGCTGGTGTTTACACCATCCACAGCATCCTTAAGGATGAAATGTTTCAGTGACACATAGCCTAGCTGGGCTGACATAAACAATAGTGGGGTGGTAGTCAAAACTTGTCAGGTGCAAGACAGTGAGCGGGTCCCAGAAGGACCCACTAATTGTGGTCAATGACGTTCCCAGGGAGGCTGGCTCCTTCATTGAACACTCCTCACTTGTGGGCATGGACATTTTTAACCTTGCGCCAACAGACTGATGTTGTGCTAAGCTAGGCATACTGGAAAGAATGCTCACAGCCTCTAACTTTCAGAAACAATGCCAGATGTTTTTGCTTTGTCTCCTAACTGTTGGTACCATTTTATAAGGCCATCTAAAAATTGTTCAATATCTTAAACCATATGGATATTTGGACTCTATTAACAATGGAATCCTTTTCCCAAAAGCTAGTGCGGCATTTATGGATGGGTCACTGAAACAAGTAACTGAAAATGCTTTCTTTTTGTTTATTTATTTTCCTGAAGGCCAGTTAAAGCATCAGGAATATTTATAAATCACAGGTTTTGTGTGTGTGTGTGTGTGTGTGTGTGTGTGTGTGTGTGTGTGTGTGTTTTTCCAGTTTATTTCTCCATTGATCCCTTGCTAGATAATCACAGTGGTAAATGAGTTTCTGGCTTACTCTCAATTTAGCAAAAGCAAAAGTCTTTCTGTTTAAAATAGGAAAAGCAAGGTGGACTCAGTGGTACTAATAAAAAAAATGGAGTCAGGATGATTATGAGGTGGAATAGTAGCCATAGGAAATTAGTATTAGCTGTCAAGGTAGATGTGGTAGGAAATTTAATTGGCAAGAAGGATTCTTTGGATGGAGGAATTTTCAGGAATGGCAGCAAAAAGAGGAAAAGGAAAGAATGAACCTCTGGATAGGGAAACATAGCCAGCAAATAGATAATCAACAGTTTTTGCCAAGGCAAAAACATATGGATAATCTATATGCAAGGCAGAGGCAGCTTTTAACACTTTAAAAATAATTTATAAGGCAAATTGGTATTTAAAGAACACAAGATGTAATGAATTTCTACATTTAGATTAGTGCGTTGGTTTTGCTATCAGGCTATATAATGAAATTAAGCTTAAAATAAATGCTGAAGCAAATAATCAGACTCATCAAAGAAGAACACATAAGAGGAGCACAAACTGCTATAAGAGAAACATCCAAGTTTATGTATTAATTCTGCCAGAGGGTGAGTGGAAAGTTCCTCATCTGGCTCCTAGGTGCCAAAAAGGATTCACCAAAAGGTTTCAAATCAAAGTCAACGGTAAGTATGTCTCACTTTAATACTGGGGAGAGATGAGAAATTCTGTGAGTCAGTTGTCTCTGAACAAAGATGGCAGTCACAGGTCGGGTTGTTAGGAAAGCAAATAGACCAACTAAGCATAATGGGAGGAATGTTTTAAGACTATTCAGTCTTGCAAAGTGAATGTCCTTATTTAGCAAATACTTTTTTTTTTTTAAAGTGCAGCAAAGTGGATAGAGAGCCAGGAAGACCTGAGTTCAAGTCCTACCTCTGACACGGTGTGACCATGACCTCTCAGCCCTTTAAGCAACTCTCTAAGACTATTTGTTCAGTCATTTTCATGTCTGACTCTTTGTGACCCCATTTGAGGTTTTCTTGGCAAAATACTGGAGTGGTTTGCCTTTTCCTCCTCCAGTTCATTTTATAGATGCAGAACTGAGGCAAATAGGGCTAAGTGACTTGCCCAGGGTCACACAACTAGTAAGTGTTTGAGGGTGAATTTGAACACATGAAGATGAGTCTTCCTGACTCCAGGCCCAGGGCTTTATCCACTGTGCTAACTAGCTACCCTATTCTAAGACTATAGGTTGCAGAAAAGGGGCCAACCTGCACTGGCGGAGAGATCTCTATAGCAATGAAATTGCCGGTCCAGTATCTATCCCTATCCTGAAAAGAGAACTGATTTTGGGTTACATAGCTCACCTTCTGAGTCGTAGTTAATTCTCCCTGTGCTATGTGTGACCATGACCAGATGTCATAGGGGTGAATCTTCCAGATTTCAATTTATGTTATTTTGATAATTCAAGTAGATGGGACCCAGTCTATCCAATCCTAGAGCTCGAGGTTGCCGAATGATGCCAGTGTGGAAAGGGTTTGTGAATCAAATCAGATAATAAGCCTGTGGCCTGCTTCTGCCTCCAGGAGAAAGAGACATTACTATACAAAGGCTAAGGCATCATTGTCACTGTTAATCATCACAATTACCGAAAATCTGCAGTGTCTTTCTGTGGAGCTTAAAATATCTGTCCCTGCAGGTAGAGTGGGTACCTGTCATGGCTAATTTCCATGTGCCATACTGAGGGTTGAGGCACATGCAAGCCATTCAGGTTTAGCCTACAATTCTCCCAAAGGCAAAATTGTTACTCCAGTCCTAGAAATTCTAAAATATTCAAAGTCTGTGCTGTTGTTGTTCAGTTGTGTCCAACTCTTTGCGATCCCATTGGGGGTTTTCTTGGCAAAGATACTGGAGCGGTTTAACATTTCCTTCTCCAGCTGATTTTACAGTGAGGAAACTGAGGCAAACAGGGTGAAGGGACTTGCCCAGGGTCACACAGTTAGTAATTGTCCAAGTTCAGATTTGAACTCAAGAAGAGGAGTCTTTCTGACTTTAGGCCTGTCTCTCTCTCTCCCTCCCTCCCATAAATCCACACATAAAGACCGTACTTTCATTAAATTGGAGAACCTCCTGGTGTGGATCTCTCCAGTAATGTAAACAGGTAGTTGTGCTGTATAGGTGAAAAAATAAAAAGTTGTAAAACAATTAAATACATGATTTAGGAGATTAGAAAAGTCATTTTTTTGAGGGGGGGGGGCCTAGGCAATGGGTTAAGTGACTTGCCCAGGGTCACACAGCTAGTACGTGGTATGTGTCTGAGGCTGGATTTGAACCCAGGCCCTCCTGACTCCGGGGCCAGTGTTCTATCCACTGTGCCACCTAGCTGCCCCAAGGAGTCATTTTTATAGTATGAATTAAAATGTTCTCTTCTCTCTGAGATGATTCAGATCCTGACGCAATTACCCTTGCTACCTTGGTTCAGTCCCACGGAATAATTTGAAAGCAAGAATGCAGAGCTGTTTAATAGCAATGTGTAAGGTAACTTGTCTTACAAAGTTGTCTGGGTTATTGAAAGGTTCACTGACTTGCCATCAAATAACATAGTATATATCGGAGCCAGGTCTCGAACCCAGGACTTTTTGACTCCAAGGTTAGCCTTCTATCCACTATATTGCACTGCCTTTTGAACAATATTTACAGATTTAAAATATAAACTCCATTTTATTTTTAAATAATAGAAATCTTCTAATTTGCATCTACCTCCCAAGGTCGTTATGAGGCTCCAGTGAGAAATATATAAAATGCTGCATAGTCCTTCAAGAGACATATAAATGCTAACTATTTTTATGTTTATTTTAAGTTAGAGGATTGAACATTGTATTTTAAGTGAGCTAATCTTTCACTACGATGAACACTTTCTCTATGAACAATTGAAAATTAAACTAGACATCTATGTTTACAGCCAACTTAACTTTTTGGTCCTAAGACAGGCCTAATAAAATGCTAGGATAGATGGAAGAGGCAAAAAAAAAAAATCCATGTTTTCTTTTAATTCTCTGACATTTGCTTTTTTTAATTTAATTTATTATTGTCTGGAATCCAGTGATATTGGCATATATACACTCACCAGAGCCAGAGTCCCGAAGGACAGGTGGTACCAGATGACTTTGACTGTTGAATAAAATACAGTACTAGTAGTGGACAGCTACACACATGCATCCACAATTTAAACTACAGTGATTCCATACTGCAACTGAAACAGTACTACCAGAAAAAGAAAAAAAATAGATATCAAGTGTTCCCCAATTCATAATCCTTTTTTTTCCTTTTTTAAACAATTAATGCTGTTACAAACACTACTGATGTTGGGATAAGGCAAATCACAGAGTCCTACATCTTCTCTGCAGTATAAATTTGGAAGGTTTTTATACAGTTTACTGAAGTCTGATACTAGTAGTGACTACTCGTTTTTGCTAAAGTTTGCTAAATTTGTTGCTACCTGTTACAACTAAAGTTTTGAAAACTTCTATCTACTCTTTGAATTTTTTTTTCTTTTCTTTTCTTTTTTTTTGGTGAGGCAATGGGGTTAAGTGACTTGCCCAGGGTCACACAGCTAGCAAGTTACAAGTGTCTTTGAATTTCTAAAACCTGATTCTGATATCAGTGATGTAGAACCTGATCATATCAACTATAAAACATTTCAGGTTTCTAATTTTAGAACTCATATTTTTCATTGAGACTTCAGAAATTGGGAGAGCCTGGTTCCTAAGCCAACACAAACTAATTGTATGATTTAATTACCCAGTCTGCTTTTTACTTTCCCTATCTGAAAAACAGAATTGTCGTTCTTCTTTTTCATGCAAAGGGGTTTATGTCATGAAGATGGAATCCATGCCAGAAAAACATCACTGAAGAGTGCAATTCAGCTTCATTCAATGACCCAGTCAATGTCATTAGCCTTCATTTGCCAGAGCCTGTGCCTACCTACTAAGCCTCACAGCAAAGTCTGGGGAAAATATAGTGTGATGAGGACAACAGGGGTTAAATGTGGCCTTCATCAGAGACAGCAATAACAATGGTTGACCACACAGGCTTTTCTCATCTCCCTCTGAGCCTTGACTTTGCAGGTTCTAGTCTCTGCTTATTTTTGGCACACAGGATGAGGAAAAGACTAAGCACAGCAGTCAGTTACGAGGCTGGGAAAACAAGAGGGAGTGGATGGAATAGGATGAAACAAAATGAAGCAATTGTCCGCAGTTCAAGGTCACCTTTTCTCCTTTCTCTCCTAAATCACCCTTCTCTCCTCGAGGACCGGGAAAACCCTGTAGGAAAAAAAGAAAAACAGACAAAACCAAAAGTATCCATTGGTCTAATGTGTGACAATTATGTTGGGGAAAACATTCAGATTTATTGTTTTTCTACAGACACAGAAAGAGTTAAGGGTATCCCTTTCAAGATCAAATTAACAACAACAAAAATAACAACAACAATAATAATAGCTGACCCTACTAGAGTGTTTTAAGGTTTGCAAAATTTACTTTACAAAATGGCAACTGTCGAACCATTTATACAAGTGGGATCACTTTCCTTAACTTCTCAAAATTCCCTTTAGCTCCTGTATGATGCTTTTCAATGAATTCTAACAGCTTCTTGACTTGTCCTTCATAGTCTGTCTCAACTCATGTATTCAATTCAATTCATTCAATAGAATGTAAGCCTTGAGGGTAGAGACTGTTTCATTTTTGTCTTTGTATTCCCAGTCCCTAGCATAGTGGCTCACATATCGTACGTGCTTAATAAATGCTTATTGGTTGCAGGATGCTGGACTGGAGGTGGCTAATATATTTTCTGAGATATAAACTAGGGATGGTAGACAATTTAGGTTAAGTTTGCATTAAGAGGAAACAAGAACTTTTGAGATAACGTATATAAAGCTTTGTAAACCTTAAAACAACCTATGTGTCAACTATTATTGTTAATAATGTTAATTATAATTAATAATGGTGACAGAAACTATATGGACAACTTTGAATCATCACATGTGAACAGTGTTTGTATTTTGTGCATTCTTTTACATAACCTAGCTCTGACTCCACCAGTAAAATCATGAGTAAGCTTTGTCTCATTCCAATTCAGTTTAACCCAGTCAACTATTATTAGGCAACTGCTGTGTGCTGAGCACTAGTTTTAAATCACTGGATCATAGATGAAAAGTTGGGAGGAACCTCAGAGGTCATAAAGTCCAACCTCCTCACATCCTGATTGGGAAACTGGGGCCCATAGAGCTTAAGTGATTAGGCCAGATTCCACTGGCATTATTAAGGCTTTTAACTCCAAAATCTAGCAGTTTTTCCATGATACCATTTCTATTTGGGAAAGTAATTTTAAAATGTTACCATTTACTACCCTATGTTAACTTTCTTTCCTCTAATTGTATCCTTGTCCTATATTCATTACACAGAAACACTTGTAATACATTTCACACCACTCTCCAAATTCCTAGTATGCACAGTGAATGGTAAATAAATAAGCAATATCCATGCTGTTACAGCCACGAAGCACACTAGTATCTGTTACTATAGTCATATGATACTTACATCAAGACCAGGTTCTCCATCCTTCCCCTGCCAAAGAACCATATGAACTACATTATTGTTCCTAAGCTTAGGCTATTGTCTTCTGTACTTAGGACAGTCCATCCTACTCAGGATGGTTGTGCTGGCATGTGAGCACACAAGTATCAAAATGACTACATTTTGTAGTCATTTTGTAGCACAGAAGCTGGGCTTTTGAACTGTCACATATTTCTTTCACTAGTCAAGTGAAAGATGATGATTCATAATTCCCACAAATGTTACATACTTTCTTATTAAAGCTCCATGAGTTGATTGTATTTTCATGATGTTCAGAAATCAAATTGACTATGAACTTTTTTCTGTTTTTGAAGCTTGGTGACAAAGTCATTATTCTAGGAGTTGATTTTACAGGGGAAAACTTCAGTCATTATAAAGTCATGTCAAATTCTGAGTGTATGTGCTTCTTAATGCTTAATAATAGTAACATATATAACACTTTAAATTCTGTAAAATGCTTGACAAATGTTACCTTATTTGATCCTCACAATAACCCTGGGAAGTGGGTGCTCTTTTTAGCCCCATTTTTACAGAAAACTGAGGCAGATATCAGTAAAGGGACTTGATGACAGTCACATAACTCATAACTTTGGGGGGCAGAATTTGAATTGAGGTCTTCCTGACTCCAAGTCTTGTTATCTATCCTCTGCACCTTCGAGCTGCCTCTAAATTAGTAAAATTCTAGCTCCTTCACAGTGAAGGAAGTAAAACATGTTTCATTTCTAAATGTTATATCGATTTCTGTTCTAGACATACTTCTGGTCTCTCTGTAAATGAAAAGGACATGAAGGGAGAAAGTTTTAAAAATGCTACTTTTTAAGCAGATTTTGTAAATGAATGCTGGGCAAAGATAAAAGAAATCACAACCTGGTTGCCCAGTGATGATCAATCCATCTTTTCTTTTTATTAAATTATTAATTAAATTATTATTATTAAAACAATGTACTTCCATTGTCAAGTTTAGTGATCCATTCAGTTTCAGCAAGAAATCTGCTTTGCCTCTACCAATCATTTGGTGATTTATTTAAAAATCAGAATGTGTTAAGGTCATAGTTCAAATTTTGTTTTGTTTTTTAAAATTGTTCTTAATTGTTTTTTAAAAAATTTTAAACAATTGTTTAATTGTTTTTAATTTAAAAAGAAGGGATATATATATGTAGAGTAAAACAAACAAAAAACTTGATCACATTTTAGCAATATTTTGTATGTTTTTGCCAATAATTTTAACAAAAATACTCTTGTATCAACTATAGTTATAAAAATTTCATTGTATGCTTTATAATTTTATTTCCATGTGCCTGAGAATTTTCAGAAGGGAAATGAAAAGATAGTGATGTGTTAGATTTAGCTTTCCCAAAGGATCACTTATTATTCTAAGGATAATTTTTTCTTCACATTTGTAGTGAGGCATTGCAGACTTAGATCTGTGGGCCAAACAAAGTCCTCAGGGCCTGTATATTCAAGCCTCTTAGAGCTGTGAGGACTGTGGGTATTAATGCCTCGGGCCCCACTACCAGACAGAAATGGAGAAATGAGCATTAACATCAATGATTTTGGAAAAGGCCCATTTTTTTAACAGTAATAATACTTTCTATTTAACATATTGAATAACATGCTTAATGCTATTCAATGTTAGCCTCTTTTAGAACTAATTGGACAAAATAAACTGAATAAATAGTAAGGCTGTTAAATTCTAATTTCTTGGTAGAATCTCTGTATCTAATTTTTATGCACTTAACTTTTAATGACGGGCACCGAGTCAAATCAAATGCTACAAGTGAAGAATTAGAAATAACTAGAACCCCAGATTGCACATTAGCCTGGTTTGTTCCAGTGATAATCTTTGGTGTTTTCCATTCATTCTCTCTCTCTCTCTCTCTCTCTCTCTCTCTCTCTCTCTCTCCCCCCCCCCCCCATCTGTGTGTGTGTATGAGTTCAAGAAAGAATAATGGTATTGCTGAAAGAAACAGACATAATTAGGGTTGCATTTCACATGATTATTTTACTGTTTTCCTTGAATGATTATTCTGCTGCTCAAGGAAATGACTGGGAAAATAAATGACATTTCATCAATGTATAGACTAATGAAAGTTATAGTCAACTCACAGGCAAACCATAAGGTCCCCTGGGACCAGGCTCTCCCACAGCTCCCTTTTCACCCTAAAAGAAAAATAATAATGCAACAAAGACATTCAAACACATATACACACACTTTATTTTTGTAATAATGTGTCCTTAAATTCTCTGTTTAAAGTTTACCCATACCATTCTATCAAAATCCCAGAGAAATGGTCTCAATTGGTCATTTCAAGCAATTTGTTATTAGTAACTCACAGTTGTAACACACAGAACATACTTTGCTGAAATCACAGGTCCTATGGTAACCAGCTCCCATCAGCTCTGTCCAAAAGCTTATTTGTCTAAAATATTATAACTAAATTTCATTTGTTACAGTATGTACTTTTCCCCCCTATTTGTTAATTTATTATAAAAGCAAGGATGAAATGTTCTGATATCTTCTACTAGAGCAGGGGTGGGGAACCTGTGGCCTCGAGGCCATATATGGTGGCCTAGGTCCTCGGGTGCAGCCTTTTGATTGAGTCCAAGTTTTATAGAACAAATCCTTTTATTAAGGATATTTGTTCTGTGAAGTTTGGATTCAGTCAAAGGGCCGCACTTGAAGACCTAGAGGGCCACACGTGGCCTCGAGGCAGCAGGTCCCCCACTAGACTCCACTTTAGTGGTGTAAATTTGCTGTTTCTCTTTCAAAGGGCATTTAAAAACTGTTAATTTTCCTTGTTAGAAGTTGCCCAAGGTATGGGTTTTGTCTTGCTTTGGGAAGATCTAGGCCTGTGACTCCATTAATGCAGAGGACCCCTTCTGTGACCATAGGCTAGGAACTTGTTTGTAATTTAGAATCTTAGAGAACTGCCTAGGGTATTTAGTAGTTATGTCAACAGCTGATTATGATTATTAATTAATGATTAAAATATTCCTAGTAATTACTCATTATGATTTCTAATAATAGCTGGCATTTATATAGATAGCCCTTTAAGGGCTGCAACGTACTTAATACATATTATCTCATTTGATCTTCACAAGTAGGTGCTATTATTATCTCCTTTTAGCAGATGAGGAAACTGAGGCAGGCAGAAGTTATGTGACTTGCCCAAGATCATATAGCTAGTAAGTGTCTGAGGCTGGATTTGATCTCACATCTTCCTAATTCCAGGTCCAGCACTCTATCCATTGAACCTGAGGCAAGACTTGATTTGGTTTTATGGTATGGGTTTCTTGGGGCGAAGAGGAGAGAAAATTTGTGATTTCATTGGAAACTCCTTTCACTAGTGCAGATCAGCACTTGATGTGGAGTTGACAGTATTGGAGAATTGCCTGGGGGATGCAGATCTTAAACACTTATCTTTAACTCAGACTCAGAATCCAGATCTCTTTAACCACCATAGCACACTGCCTGTGGTTAAGGTAAGCTCACAGAGCAAAAGCTTGGATACATCTATTTCTCTCTCTTCATCCTGCTTTTTGAAACTAGGTAATAAACCTCAGGTAATCTATGAGAAGTCTAAGAAAGAATTTAAAGATTAGTTGAGCAGAATTATCCTGATTCAGGCAGGAGGATGGTCTCCTGACAATGACATGACTATGATAATGGCTGGAGAAACAGAGGGTAGCTCTATTTCAAATACCACTTTCTTCTGATTGTTTTGCTAAATTAAACCTTGTCAATTATGATAAGGATTTGGTATGAAGACTTTGGTTGTAAAAATGACATCTAAGCAGTGACCAGAGAGAAGATACGGCCTCAATTCTGGCAAGCCACTGTGTGGAAATCAACTCATGGCAGAATTTGAAGGGTTACCAAATCATGCCTTTGGAATGAAATATAGAATGCAGATATTGGCCTTCTCCCCTCATCCTAGCATTTTAAAGTTGCTTTGAAATCCTTAGACTCTAAGATAGGTTCCTGATTGGGCAGCCATTTTCCTAAACATCCTCTCCCTTCTTCACCTTGATCTCCATTCTAACCCTTACAGCTGGATAAGGTTCTTCATGGCTAAAGTATAGCGATGGATCTAAGGTTATAGACTTGAAATTTAGCATGCCAGAGTTCACACATTTACATAAGTATGGCCTTAAAGCCATCCCCTTTGAGAGGGCCTACAAAGCTTTTCCCCTTGAGAGGGTCTACCCTTGCCACCATTCCTTTATACATTTATAGACCCACTCCTTTGGAACTGTCTTCACATCTTGGGGTGCTTTTCTTTGAATATCCTAAAAAAGGGCCCATTTTCATCTTTAGTGGATGGATTTGACTTTTTGAGAAGCAGTCCCAAAGTCTAGTGAACAAAATGAATGGTCAAGCTGAGTAATATTTGACCATTTCTGGTCAAAATGAGATGAGGCTGTCATTGACTACTATCTGACCTTGGACAAACCATTTAATCTTTCATGTCTTAGTTTTCTGAAGGTGGATATTAAAATATAAGGTCCTAGAAGGTGTGTATTGTTTTACTTTTGTCTTTGTAACCCCAGCACTTACCACAGTACGTGGTAGCTGTTGATACGGTGGATAGAATACTAGGCCTAGAGTTAGGAAGACCAGTCTGGCCTTAGTCATTTACTAGCTGTGTGACCCTGGGCAAATCTAAACCTCCATTTGTCTCAGTTTCCCCCTCTGTAAAATGGGAATAAGAATAGAACCTCCCTCTAGGGTTGTTGTGAGGATCAAATGAGATAATAATTGTAAAGCGCTTAGCACAGGGCCTTGCACATAGTAGGTACTACATAAAAGATTGTTGATTGACTGGGCTTCTTGAATATTTAGTCAAATGGTTCAGAAGCCAGTTCTAAAAGAGGGGATCTATAACTGTGTAGCAATGGTAGTATCAGTTTATTACATGGTTACATTGAAAGAAGACACTCATTTGTGTGTATTGATTCTGGTATACTTAAAATATGGGCTTAGTGGTTAGAATGTTGTTCTTTGAACCCGGTCAGGAAACCCTGGGTTCAAATCCAGACTATCACTTCTTAGATGTGCAACCCAGGAAAAGTCACTTAACCTCAATTAACTCCCTAAGGCTTATCCACAAGGAGGGAATTCTCACATGGAAGTTCTTTTGAACATTATTTTATTGCAATATCCTTCTTTATTTACTTTTCAGAGTTAGATATTGAAGTACTATGTTTGACTTTCAATCCTAGATAAGACAATCAGAGAGAAAGAAAGAGGATGCATGCGTGTATGTGTGTGTGTGTGTGTGAGAGAGAGAGAGAGAAAGAGAGAAAGAGAGAGGAGAGAGAGAGAGAAAGAAAGAGAGAGAGAGGAGAGAGAGAGAGAGAAAGAGAGAGAGAGAAAGAGACAGAGAAAGAGAGAGAGAGAGAGAGAGAGAGAGAGAGAGAGAAGTGGGGGGAGACACAAACTCACAGATCTAGACCTAGAAGGCACATTAGGGGCCATCTTGGTTAAGTTCTTCCTTTTACAAGGAAGGGACAGAGAGAATAAGCATTTATTAAGTACCTACCATGTGCCAGGCATTGTGCTAAGCGCTTTACAGATATCATTTCATTTTATTCTCATAACAACCCTGTAAGGTAGGTACTATTATTATCTCCATTCTACAATTGAGGAAAGTAAGACAGAGATTAAGTACCTTGCCCAGGGACACACAGCTACTGTCTAAGGCTGGATTTGAATTCAGGTCTTCCTGACTTTAGGCCCAGTGACTATCTGGCTGCCTAGGTGCCTTTATAAGATGAGGAAGTTTTTCTTTTTTAAACTATCAACATTTTCATCAGAACTGCCCAGTATTTCCAAGGTTATAGGAATCAAGTGTCTGGTGGCAGGAAATAAGCCAGAGAACTAATGTTGTTCATGAAAATCTGCCTAGGCTGGCTTTATTTCTCTGGGGCTTTCTAATGTGTTTTAATGTCACTCTCTACAAGCCTGTATTTAAAAAAAATGGCAGCCGAGCTGAAGCAGGTCCACACCAGATGAATGGCCACAATGCCCCCAATGTCCTCACGAGGGGTACTTCCAGAGACCTGACCCTGGGATCTCCTCGGACACTTGAACATTCTGAATGAACACTGCAGTGCAGGTCTTGCACTGACCATGCTCCATTTGGCTCCAACTACGCCATCGATGGCGGTCTTGGCTCCTAGAGCTGATCTCTTGATTCTTTCTGCTCCAGCAAGGAGACCTGATACCCTTGTGACACATCAGGAGCCATCGGAAGTAACAGCTGATTTGCCAAATGGTCAAATCCAGCCCCCCCCCCCCACTCTAGCCTCAGGGCATGTGGCCAAAAGAACTTAGGAGATTTACTGATCTATTTCTAGAAATAGTCACTGCCTTTCACACTGGTAAGTCCAGTCCTGTGGGAAACTTTGAAGTTATCTGTGTTTAAATATTAAAATATTTATTTTAAATTTAGATAAACACTGCCCCTTTTACCTTGAGAAGTCACAGATCAGATTGTAGATAAGAGATAACTGCACCTCTGAGGAAAAAAATACACTTTTGAAAAGACCTCAATATTCACCTCTCTGGAGAAGGAATAGAAATTGCTTATTGCAATTATTAAGCACCTACTGTGTACCAGGCACTGAGCTAAGTGCTTTACAAATATTATCTCATTTGATCTTCACAACAACCCAGCAAAGTAGGTGTTGCTATTGTGCCCATTTTACAGATGGGGAAATTGAGACAAACAAGAGGTTAAGTGACCTGCCTCAGGTCGTACTACCTATAAGTGTCTGAAGTTAGATTTGAACTGATGTCTTTCCAACTCTAGGCCCAGTACTCTGTCCATTGTGCCATCTAACTGCCTCAAGCCATCCTGGACCTGCCAATTAGTGAGTCTACTAGTATTTATTAAGCAGCAGTAGTAAGCCAGGCACTCTACTAAGTGCTGGGGATACAAAGAAAGGGAAGAAACAATCCCTGCTCTCAAGGAGATCATGATGTAAGAGGGCTGGGGGTGTGAAGGTCTTTCTTGATTCCCTAGCTACTAAATATATTCTGCACAGGTAGGTGTGTAGGTGTGTGTGTGCAAAGTTCTTTGCAAATGTCAAAGCTTGGGGCAGCTAGGTGGCTTACTGGCCCTGAAGTCAGGAGGACTTGAGATCAGATCTGTCCTCAGACACATAACACTTACTAGCTGTGTGACCCTGGGCAAGTCATTAATCCCAATTGCCTCACCAAAAAAACAAACAAAAAAAAATGTCAAAGCTCTATGTGAATGCTATCATTATTATCATTTATCTTTATTCACTGGACAACCAAAGAGGTCTGTGATACAGAAAAGGAAGAGAGAGAGAGACTTTCTGGTTGAGTGACTGATCACTGCTGTTGCTGAAAATTTTACTATTGGACCTATGGCTCACAATCAACATGCAAAGAGAGTCTCCTCCAACTAGAGGTTAAGGAAAAGTTTTGCCCTCTTCAAACTCTGAAATTGTTTCCTTATGGCTAGAGAAGGAAGAGGTATTTTGAGAGATGAAACAGAAAAAGATTCATTTTTGTTGGTGGCGGGGATGGTCATGATGATTTGTGTTCTTTGATCTTCACTATGGGGGAACGGGGATAGAAAGCTATGGTTTTCTCCTCTGAATGAAAACGGTAGCTATGAAAGGTTGTCTTCCAAATCCTGGAGATTTTAGCCCCAATGACTAAAGCTCTCTGGCTTAATGCCATGTGAAAACATCTTCCTTATGGTTGCACAGCTGTGTATTTAGCTATGTAAATCTCTGTAGTCTTTTGGGTCACCTTCTAGTGTGAAGTTCTCACCTCCACTTTTCTTCATAGAAAAATAACTTGGGCCCCTCCCTATCCTATACTGACATTGAATAGCTGCATCCATTCTCCTGGGGAGGAAAAGATGGAAACCCCTTTTTGTCCTTTGTTTTGAAACTTTGACCAAAGAACTTTCTTCATTCCACAGATCCATTTAAATAATGCAAGGCCATAAGAGGAACTTACTCTTTCTCCTTTAGGACCTGCAGGTCCATGGGGTCCAATAGGGCCATCTGTACCCTAAAAAAAATGCAACAGAAATATAACTCAAAAGCTGCTAACAAGCCATAGAGGTTTAGTAATGAAATGTTGCCTTAGGAAACCATGGAGATATTATGATGTTCCTCATCTTTTTCTTATGTATTATTTCCTCAGATTAATCACTTTTCAGAGGTTCACGCGAATGGCATATTCCAACAAGGATGAAAAACTCAGTTGACCATATTTACTCACATATCTTCTCTCCTCACATGTCACTCCTCTCCCATCCTCTACTTTTAAGGCAGAAATATAGGACTTCCCTGACCCTACACACATTATTTTCCTCTAGTGGGCTGCTTTGGTTGTCAGCAGCAGCTGGAGTTCCTCTGAAGGCTTGGCCAGAACAGATGGAAGAGAGTTGAACAACCTTATTTGCTGAAAGTCAAGTGAAGTGTGATTGTTAACACAGTTTCCCTGCCCAGATCAAGCCTTCAGAGGATCTTTTGAGGAAGTGGGGTGGGTGGAGAAGAGTGAAGAGGAGGAGGAAGAGAATAGGGTGAAGGGAAGGAATTTTTCCCCTGGCTCCTATCCCTAGGGTTATCCTGTTAGCAGCAGCAGGCAGTTTGGACAACTCTCTGGCAGGATTCCCTTCTCCTCTCCCATTTCAGTGGTAAAATAGCCACAAAAAGAAGTGGGAGTTATGTGAATAAATACAGCATATAGAAAGAAACACAAAGGTCTCAATGAAAAGAAAGACAGCCTAAAGGAAGGCTGTTTTGTTTTGTTTTTTCAAAATAACAAAGGTTAGCTATTCATATTTTTTTTTCCTTTTGGCTTCTAGAGATGCTACTGGGGGCTTCTGATGTAATTACTACTTCCAGTGAGACTGTTTAGGTTGCCAACAGAATGTAAGCTCCATAAGGTCAGGGACTATTTGATTTCTGTATTTGTATCCCGACCATCTAGCACAATATCTGGTTTGTAGGAGGCTCTTAAGAAATGCTGTTTGGGCAAGTGAGTTGCAAGGTGTTTGTTTTTGTTTTTTATTATATGGAGTCTCAGGAAGTATTTTAGAATCATTCCTACTGATTCTCTACTGACAAAATTGATAAAAAGTCAATCTAGATTTAAAAACCAGTCTCTAGAAATCTAATTCAATACGTTTGTGAGCACTCAATCTCAATCGGTTTTGCCTTTAGCTTCAAAAGCCACCCTCACAACACTTCAAATGCTGAGATCCATAAAATGGAGGGAATGGTGCTATGATGAAGCCAAGAGAGGTGGCAAAGCTACAGTAAATAGACACCTCTCATTTAAAAGAGCAGATGTGCTTACATAAGGTTCATCTATTGCTCAAAAAGAAGCTATCTACCTACGTGCCCACCTATCCATCCATTTTTTTTTAAATGTACATGAACAGTGAATGAACAGGAAGTAAAAACAAAGGCTAGAATCAAATCTTCTTTAGTGCAATTGGAGGAATGGGCCCATGGATTTCCCTGGAATGTGAGATTGACACAACAGAGTTGAGTTTTTTTGGAGACATGAGCCATACCTGTCCATCTATAAAGTACACAGAATTCAGACCTAAGTTTTAGTCCTAGGGATAAGACTTTTGGTCGTTCTGGGCTGCAAAAAGCTGCAATTTCACTCCCCCCAGTTCTCCCAGCATGTTTGCCTCCCTCTTCCGTTTCAGCACCAAGAACATCATTCACCGTTTTACTCAAATAAAGTGAACCAAGAGATGTGTCACAGAGCACCACAAACTCATGAAGAAGGCATGCAGAGGAAGACAAGAGACTCACCCGGGATCCTGGCTTTCCGTCTAAGCCAGATGCTCCCTGTATGGTTAGGTTGGAAGCATGGTTGGTGGGTGTAACACGGATGACAAGAACATGAAATTAGTAAGTAGAACTGATGAACAAATATAACAATTCAAACAACAGAATATGTGGCTATAGGGTTCTGAACTACCACGTTACTACAACTTGTTAGTTAAAAAAACAACAACAACACACAACAATAAATGTCCCCCAGACCCTCACATTTTCATGACATTTCTATCCCACAAATCCTTATTTAAAAATCAGTCTAATGAGTTTTATAAAGTAGACTAAAAGTCTACTATAATAATCCATAATAACCATAAAGTTCTACCTAGATGCCATTTGGACCATAACAGATGATTTTTATAAAGACTACAAAATTCACAATATATTCATTTCTTTATAAATTCTGAAGAGAAAAAAAGTGGCTCAATCCCATAAGAAAAGCTTCATTTTTTTTTTTTCCCTTTTAGAGGCAATCAGAGTTAAGTGATTTGCCGAGGGTCACACAGCTAGTATCTGAGGCCGCATTTGAACTCAGGTTCTCCTGATTTCAGGGCCAGCACCACCTAGCTGCTCCAAGAAAAACTTCATTTAAAGAGCCAGTTATTACATTTCACTATTCCAAAAGATGAAGGGGAAGAAAAATCTGTTTTTATATGTTAGAATTTTGAGGGAAATGATAAAGTGAATGACTAGATTAGGGTTTTTCAATTGTCTGTAGTTAGATTTCAAGGGGTCTGAGAAATGCCTATTTGTGTCTAATAGTAGCCATCTCCAGGGTGGGGAAAGGAGGGGGAAAGAAAAAAAAGACAAAAATTTACATGGTAATTTTGTTGTGCATTTGAAAGCAATGGTAAGTTGTGCATTGCAGATTTGCAGTTTCATGTACAATCATCTTTTTTATTGTACTGCTATGGAAATACTTGTTTTATTCCACAAATAAAGAATAAAATTTTTAAAAATTTTAAAAAGAAAACAGGATAGTAAAAAAAAAATTACATCTTTATTTTCACTAAATTCTAATTGAAATTTAGCATTTCCTTCAATTATTTTTTTAAAAAATCATTCTGAGGAGTCCATAGGCTTCACCAACCTGCCAGAAGGGTTTCTGACACAAAACACAAAACTCCTGGGCATATTCCTCACCGCTCCTCCCCCGCCTCCCCTGTTTCCCATCCCTCGTCTTTTTCTGGTGGGGTTACAAGGTGTAGCTTTGGCAGGGGACTTAGATTATATACCCAGTAGATTCTATAGGACTAAAGGCTCAGGTGGGTGCACTGTGAGACCATCAAGCATTCATTTCATTTACCACTAGAGGGACTGCTTTGAACAGAGAACGTCTAACAAGGAAAATATTTAACTATGAAAATCTTCTAAATCAAAATCATATCCGAGTAAAATACCTATCAGAGATCAAATGGTAATTAGCTCAATTTCTCTATTTGTTCTTTTTAAAAATGTATGTTTTCTTGGGTCCTTGATTACTGCAAGGAACGTGCAGCCTGGGATCAATTGGGCAGAATTTAAACTCTGAGCACCTGACAGATTTCCAATGCTTATTTCAAGCATGACTATAAGAACTATTTTTGACTTGACACGGATGATAGATTTTAAAGGCTAAAATATTTATATATGCCCCTTTTACGCTCATTATTAATGTGATTGAGTATTTAAGAAAGATAAGGCACTGGCTTTATTCTTGGCCAGATTGCAGGTGAACTAACTTGTATTCTCATCTTATGCCTTCAGATGTAGCTAGTAATGCAAAACTGACGCAGGGGGATCTGATTCCTACTACAAACAGTACAGATGATGCTACCTACATACATATTTATAGCTATCTGTTCCTACAAAAAGTACCAATGGGTAATCCTACTTCTCCAGCACTGATGATAAAAGAAAATATCTCCTGTTTCAATAGGCAAGTTATTTTGGGCTACTGCTATAGAGCAGTAACTAGGCAAATTATTGTAGGCCCAGAACTTAAATTTCAGATTGACTGAAAGAAATCATTTTGGGAATTTAATTTAAAAAAATGAAAATTCAAATTAGTTGCGTACTCTTTAGAGCTATGATGCTCTTTCCTCAGAGCCATCATCACCTGGGATACTGAAAAATTTGGAGAAGACTATATATAAATATATGTTTTGTTATTATATATATATATATGTATATATATGTGTGTATATATATATATGTATATATATATATAAATTTTCCAGGGACAGATATAGCTTAAAGTAAGACTGAATAATGTAACCCTTCTGGGAGAGATTAAAAAAATCAGTCAACTAATAATTGGCTTTTTGGTTAGTTATTATTTGGATTTTTATCTGCAATAAAACTCTAAATTGGAAGATTATTTAAATTTTTATCAAATGTGATTAAAATTTTAGATCTAGTTCCTTTTTATCTTGTGGTGGTTGTAGAGAGAAGGTTGGTATGAAGGATGGGGAAGGAAGAGGAATCTAACTTTCATTGTTTTGAAAACTTATTAAAAAATCCTCTTCTTCAAGATCTACTACCAACACCTTCTGGAATGGTATGTGCAAAACAAACAACATGAAACATTCAGAAGACAGTAGGATAATGTAGGGAATCACACAGCATCGTCCTCACACCATGAACAATGGCCAACTGCATGCCTGCCAACGCCAGGGAGCTACAAAGTGTGGCATTGGGGGAGAAAAAGAACTTCCAGAAGTTCTACACGGAATCTACACTGAATTATGGGAATATTTTTGGAGGAACCATGCGAAATAATGAGCATAATGGCTTTAAGAGGGGGGCACTTTCACTTGTATATGGGGAGAGTTGGCATGTATGCAACTGAATGAGGAGATGGCAAAAGTGACAAAAAATGCAGACTCTGGGGAAAACTGAATGGGACTGAGCTCTGCTCCAAAAGATGATGCTTTCAACAAGAGGGATATTGACAACATTCAAGTGCTCCTGAGTAAACCAGAGTTATTGGTTAAAATAGAAAGACAAGTCTGAGATTTGCACTAAAAATTGAATAGTTTTCTTTACTTACTGGAAGACCAAGGGGTCCTCTGTCACCCTTTTGACCTGGTTCACCCTTCAATCCTTTAAGACCATTTAACCCTGGTTCACCCTAAATGCAAAAGTAAATGCCAATTTGGTTGCTATAATGGGTGTTTAAAGCTGGGATAAAAGAGAACCAGTCTCAGAAATGGTTGCAAATTTCAGTCTGAAGTAACAGCAGAGGCAAGCTAGAATTATCTTTTATCAATTCAATACAGTTATTTTTTTTTTTGGCAGGGAGGGAGGATGATTATCAGTTAATTGAAATGTATGATAGAATAAAAGAAACTAGAATTGTTGACATCATCTTCATAGAAGAAAAAACCCTCCTGACTGAATTAATTTAAGGGTGGGATTATGGCTCTCCACTTTGCTCACATCTGGAAATGAAATATTTGCATCACACAGCTGTGGCAAAATGCACCGGCAAAAACCAAAGGGGAAGGTGGTGGGGGAGTTCTTGTAACAAAAGCCCATTCTGCTGGAATGACAAACTGTAATATGCAGGAGAGTCTTAAGGATGGATATTTTAAACCTTTAAGCATTTATGTTCACCCAAAGAGGATGATGCCTGATGTTCTGAAGTAATGCCAGTTAGGAAGCCTAGTCCAATGACTTCATCAAACAATGTTTACCTCAGATATACAAATGCCTTCTTTTGCAGCTGAATCAGGATGGTAGAGACTAAATGCCCAGAATGCCTCTTTCTAGTTTCTGCTATCCCATATGCAAAAACATAAAGTCTTCAAAAATTTTTTTCATTCATATATCTACTATTAGAATAAAGGAAGACTAAAATGATAGCTCAAGATGTGTCCTAAAAGTTTTAGCGCAGTTTTGATACCTTTAAAGCTAAAGGTCTAATATATCTAAAATATATCTTAAAAAGTTATAGATATTATATATATTATTAATATAGGATTATACATCATATACAAAATATATAAACATACATTAGATATATTATCTATAATATAGCTATAAAATATATCTAAAAATCTGAATAGCTTTAATATTTAATGTAAATAATTAGATCAATTAAAAATAATGAATTAATAATCAATTATTTAACTCAACATTATAGCTAAAGCTTTAATAACTTAAAACCACAGTAAGGCTTTTGGGACACCCTGTGTAAAGTCATTGGTACAACGAACAATCATAGAATGACAGAAATGGAAGTCATCTAATCCAACTCAGGAATTTCCTTCTACAACACCCCCAAAAAGAGCTCATTTAGATTCTGCTTTAGGATCTTTAGTGAAGGGAAATTCACTACCTCCTGAAGAGGCTCATTCTGCCTATTTGTTGTTCAGTCATTCCAGTCGTGTCTGACTTTCTGCGACTCCGTTTGGGGTTTTCTCAGCAAAGATACTGGAGTGGTTTGCCATTTCCTTCTCCAGCTTATTTTACAGATGAGGAAACTGAGGCAAACAGGGTTAAGTGATTTGCCCAGGGTCACACTGCTAGGAAGTGTCTGAGGCCAGACTTGAACTCATAAAGATGAATCTTCTTCCTGACTCCAGGCCCAGTGCTCTATGCATTGTGGCACCACCTAACTTCTGCATTCTGTTTTGGGATTGTTCTAATAGTTGGCAAGTTTTTTCCTTGTATTGAGGGAATCTTCCACTTTTCAGCTTCTGCCCTTTGCTTCTTTCTTCTCTCTGGATACTAGCTGGACAAGTCTAAGACCTGTTCTACTGCAGGTTGAAAACAGCCCTCATTGGCCCCTCCCACCCAATCTCCTCTAAGCAACATATCACCATTTCATTCAGCCTATCATTATGTGGCACATCTTTATCATCTTGGTCACCCATTCCTAGCTTTTTCATTTTCAAAGTCCTTCCTAAAAGGCAGTCCAGAACAGCCTACTATACCTCAGATAGGGTTTGAACAGGGAAGAGTACAATGGAACAATTGAATCTAATCGTTCTGGGCACCATGCCTCTCAATGCAACTTAAATCTGCCTTCCTTTCTTTGGCTGTTACATTCTAGTCAGATTGGGCTTAGAATGCAATACATACAAAAATACAAAATAAAAAGCACAATCCATATTTTTGTGTGTGAATTCTTATCTAGTCATACCTATGTCATGATATACTTATATAGTTCATTCCTTCAACTCAACTGTAGAATTTAACATTTACCCTTATTGGATTTAATCTAAGATTTACCTATTTTTCAGAGATCTTTTTGGATTACTTTGCCTTTTAATGTGCTAGCTCTTTCCCACTTTGTGTCATAGCAGGTGCTTAATATCTGCTTTTTCATGCATTTATAATTACATAATTTATTTCATAATGGAATAATGATAATAGCTAAATTTTATATGGTGCTTACTATGTGCCATGCACTGTACTAAGTGTTTTACAATTATAATCTTGTTTGATCCTCAAAACAACCCTGGGAGATAGGTGCTATGATTATCCCCATTTTATAGATGAAGAAACTGAGGCAAATAGAGGTTATATGACTAGCCCAGAGTCAGACAGCTCATAAATGTCTGAGGCTAGATTTCAACTCAGGTCTCCTGACTGTGCCATATTGATACATGTGCCAAATTATATTAATTGTGTATGTGTTTACATTGGGAATTATCTAATGTTTCCATGAGATTGGAAAATGAAGATAAGATTTTTCCACTAACAAGTAGTCAACTATAGATAGCTCTGGCCCAAAGCCTTTGTGACTTTCATATGTAGACTTTAAATATACCAAGAACAGTCTCAAAAAACCAGGAAGGTAATATTTCAAAATTATACTCTACCATAACATCTCTGTGTATGGAAAAATTTGTAGTTATACTCCAAGAGGGGATAAGTTAGTTAAGGGATGGAGCAGTCCGAGGGGAGAAGAAATGTGCATTCTGGTTCCCTGGCGCTCACTGGTTTAATTTCCCTAATGTCCAACAAGGTGGACTGCCTGTGTTCAGGGAACTGTGCAAAATAAGAATTAATGAGAAGCTAAAAAAACTCACATAATCAGATTGATCATCTAACTTCAATTTGAGGTCCACAGCCCTGTATATGTAGAGATTACCAAATCATGTATTGAGCTCATAAGGACAAGGCCATCTTTCCTCATATGACATTATTCAGTAAGAAGTTTTGATTCATGAAAGTTGGGAATTAAGTAGGAAGATTTAACTATGAAAAATACCTGGTTTCAGAGGAACATCAAATCTGAAAAATGCAAATGGAATCCACTTGAAATTAACTATGGATTAGTAAATAGAATCATAGCATTTTAGAGATAGAAGGAACCTTAACTGATAACTATTTGAATAATATCATTTCAGATTATAATTTTTAAAAACTTTTTTATAATTGGAGACACTGAGGGCTAGAAGTGTTATGCCCAAACCCAGGTCATCTGGTTATTTGTGTTTCCAAGACACCATCCAGGCTTATGAGATATTTCCTCTGGGCTCACCATATCCTCAAGAGAAAGGAAGTTACTTGCTTCTGTATACTATTCACTCAGTCATTGTGCTCAAAATTTAAGAAGACTTTGATACCTTTGTCCCATCTTATGTGCATTCAGCTGTTGGGTCTGTCAGTCCTTGAACAATGCCTCATATACACTATTCCCCCTCCTTTTCATATCCACTGCCCTAGTCCAACCTCTAATTGCCTCTGTCCTGTACAAGTACAAATAGTGAGCGCACAGTGGATAGAAAGTTGGGCTTGGAGTCAGGATTAGACTCAAGTTAAAATTCAGCCTCAGACTGAATTAGCCATGTGACCCTGGGCAAGTCACTTAACCTCTGCTTCAGTCTCCTCAACTGTAAATGGGAATAATAGTAGCACTTACCTCACAGGGTTGTTGTGAGGATCAAAGAGACATTATTTATAAAGGGCTTAGCACAGTGCCAGGCACATAGTAGGTGCTTAATAGATGCTTATTTTCTTCCCTCATTCTCTTCTTTAACACATCTCCAGTCCTCTCCACTGCTAATCTATCCTTCAAATCCCTGTCAGATCTTCCATACGTACAAGAGATATCACTCCTCTGCTCAAAACCCTGTTGACTGCTGAATTAAGTACAAGGCTTCTCACAAAGTGACATCACTCTCTCCAGATTTTCTTACATTTTCCCTCTCTCCTAATCTTACATACACCCTTTCTCATACTCTGTACTCTAGCCAAACTTTAATACACACCAAACTCTAAATATGGGCTGTACCTGGAATGTCCTCGTCAGCTTTCTTCCCTTAGTTTTCTATCCCCCTGCAGAAATCTTTCCCATCTTTTGAGACCTAATTCATATGTTTCCTCATCCACTAAGGCTTTTTAGGTTCCCTTCACCTATAAATCACCTCTCCTTCCCTGGAGTTTCCATGGCATTTTTGAAACTTTTCATATATATTTATTCTATACTAGTGCAAGTTACATATATTTGTATGTAAGGCAGCTGGGTGATATGGTAGATAAAGTACTGGGCCTACAGTCAGGAAGACCTGAGTTCAAATCCAGCTTGTTAGCTGTGAGACTGTGGGTAAGTCACTCAACCTCTGCCTGACTTAGTTTCTTGAACTGTAAAATTAGGGCAGCCAGGTGGCTTGGTGGATAGAATGCCAGTCTTCGAGTCAGAAAGACCTGAGTTCAAATCCAGCCTCAGATAGTTCCTAGCTATGTGACCCTGGGCAGCTATGTAACCCTTTTTGCCTCAGTTTCCTCATCTGTCATATGAGCTGGAGAAGGAAATGGCAAACCACTCCAGTATCTTTGCCAAGAAAAGCCCAAATGGGATCATGAAGAGTCAGATACAGCTGAAAAATGACTAAATAACAACAAACTAGGGATAACAATAGCATCTACCTCTCAGGATTGTTGTGAAGATCAAATGAGATAATATTTGTGAAGTTCCTGGCATGTGGTAGGTGCTTCATAAATTCTTGTTCCCTTCCTTCTTATTCTATGCATATATACAAACATACATACATACATACACACATATATGTATATTACAACTATGTATTATAAGAGTTGTGTGTGTGTGTGTGTGTGTGTGTGTATGCATGTCTTATCTCCCCAATCAGATTGTAAACTTATTGAGGGCAAGACATGCTTTAGCTTTTTTTTTTTAATTTCCCTTGGTGTCTAGCACAGTACTTCATACACAGTACACAGATAAATATTTCTTGAGTTGTTGAATATAAACATCATTACCATTTCTCTAGTTCGGAGAGGGAAAGAGGTTTCCCAAATCTACTTTTCTTCAGTACAGTCTGGATGTCCGTCCTCAAAGGAAGCAACAGGCTTCCTAGGAAGCAGGCTCCCATTCTCTAAAGAGGCACTCTTGGAGGCAAGGTTGGTACAAGGATATTTTGACACAATAGAAGCAATGCAGAAGTTTTGCCAACACTTCTGGGTTGGGTGGACCTCTCTCTCTCATGCCAGTGGTTGCTCTTTTACTCCACTTTTGCCTACTTTTCTCCCTAGACCTTGAGATATCTGTGGAATTCTTTGCCTTTGCAAGGAGTCACATCACACTTTGAAGTAGGCCTGTCTCTTTCATTAGGTTTATTTTCTGCTCTCAGTATCCCATAGAGAGGTGATGCTCCCTGAGGGCCCTGGAATTAATCATCTTTACACTGCCTTTCACTGCTAAAGTTCTAACGTTTCCTCTTAACAAAGACAAAGGGCACGATGAGGTTATCTCTTCTGCAAAGCAGAAAGAGACATTACTGCTAAGCAGGGTGTCTAAGGGACTGTGTCTGGTTACGCTCTCTATCTCAATGAATATAAAACATACGTGTAATCTCAAAAATGCTCTATAGGGTGGTTGAAATTTGAAAATGGCAGATACTAAAAATTAAATGGAAATTCAGAAGTATGGTAATATCATATTCATAGTCGGATGGAATGAACGTTAGATTTGGAGACAGAAAATCTAGATTCAAATCCGCTCTCTGTCATTATTTATGTGGCTTTGGGCTAGTTACTTAAACTCTTGGGGCCTCAGTATCTTCATCTGTAAAAAGAAAAGTTTGCACTAGATGATGCTGAAACCCTTCTTAGCTCTAGATCGGTGAGCCTATTTAAACTTCAGGAAGCGCATATTAATAACACTCAGTGATTTTTAAAATGTAAGCTAAATTGGTTCTAAAGATAGCATGGTTACAAAGCAGCACCTGGGTTAGTCTGAAGCTTTGCATCAGCTCACTGTATGATGTGTTGATTTTTATTATCTCAGTACCATAAACCTGAGTTGTGCTTGGAAGAAATGCAAAAGAAGAAATCCATCTCTGGGAGATATCATTTAAATTTGCTGTGAGTCATTCTGCATCATAATATTTAAACATCTGGATGCTTAAAGGCTTAAAGAATATCACTGGTATTTGACAAATGAATGAGACAGAGACAAACATGCTTGGGTCATGCTTCACAATGATTAACAGAAAAAAATTTAACAGAAAGGAGCCAGGTAGTTATTTGATTACCTTTGGCCCAGGAAGTCCATGGGGTCCCTGGAAGTAGAGAAGAAACTTCCGATTAAGAACTAGACCACTATTTGTCATTTGTAATCAGAAACAACTTATTGGAACATATATATATATATGTATATATATATATAATCTGAAAATATATATAATACATTGTATAATATATAATATAGAAAATAGAAAATATAATATATCTAGATTATATAATATCTAATAATATAATACTTAGTATATATAAAACAAAACAGCAACAATGCACTTGTTTAGAGATATGGTTAGAGGAAGAGAGTTGGATTAGATTTTAGATGACCTTTTTACAGCTCTGTCAAATTTTGAAATTCCATCACAATAAGATTCCCATTAAGCAAATTATTTGTTAGTGGGGTAAAACGTGTCTGGGTACAGAGAAGAATAGGGGGAATTTAAGAAAGTATTGTCTAAGAGTTATTTTTGTGCTGTTTAATGGCATCAACATTGGAATGTAAGCTCCTTGAGAATGAGGACTGGTTATTAGTCATATCTATACCCCCACAGTGCCTAACACTGTGCCATACACATACTTCAGTTTTTAAGTGAATTCAGGAGCTTATTGCTATGGATACTTTCTGTAACAATGCAGATTTGGAGCCATTCAAAGCCATTTGATTCTTGTTCGTATTCTCCCACAAACCCATAATGAGTATACCCAACACTGGAGAAGCCTTCCTTTTAAATGAATGAATGAATGAATAAAGCATTTATTAAGAAATTATTACATACACAGTACTGTGCTATGTGCTAGGGATACAAATAGAAAAAGTAAGACACTCCCTGCTTTCAAGGAGCTCACATTCTAAAGATGGAGATAATACATATGGAAGATTTCACCTGCAAGTCAGATGGAAAGGTCTCGTTTTGTGACCATCAGGCTAGCACTTGGATTGTCTATGGGTTGTCTCTCACTTTATGTGTCTAGCCAACCTAATTCTCTAGTTATTCATTTCTTCAATATCTCTTATACCACTTTTTCAATGCAAGTAATACATATGCCCATCATCTGTCATTCCATTGTCCTCTAGATTGCCTGCAATCATGATTTTGGGGAATTGGGGTTTTCCATGTTCTGTGATTATATACTACTACCAAGAGAAAATGAATGGGTGTTTTAAAAAACTATGTGTGTGTATGTGTGTGTGTGTGTGTGTGTGTGTGTGTGTGTGAACATCTTGAAACCATTGGAAATACTGCACAACTTCCCAAATATAATCTAGCAGTTTCTTTTCTTCTTCTCTGGGCCCAGATTCCCAACCATCTTCAGTGCCTACCCAAGATATATGCACTGATGGACTAATTCAAGGGACTATTCATTTAACTGTATGCCATAGTGTGGATAATAGATATTTTCCATTCCATTTTTCATAGATTATTAGCATGTTCTCTTTTGATTGGTCATGTTTCACACTGGAGAGGTCCTAAGATATTCTGAGCTAACAAAAACATATGGAAGACTTCACCATCTATAAGGAATCCTTCTTCCCTTTGGACTCCAGAGGAACACTTTTGATGATCAGAGGCTTGAGAATAAAGTTATTTTGGAGATTGCTGGTATTTAGGGTTCTTATATGGTCCTAAGATATTCATGGTAAATACATGGTTGGAAAAGAGTCTTTAAGGTAATTTGCTCTATTGAATCAAATTTCTTTCAGTACCCAATAGAAATAAACACAGTAGGATCTACACCTCTCATCAATTATGTAATTAAATACATATTGCATATATATATAATTGTAAAAATATGGATAAAATCATCTGCAAAAGCCTATCTGTTTTCTTCTCATGTCTTCTGTGTGGATATTTCTTAATCAAGGTAAATTTTCTAATTCTTCACTGGTGCATTTTAAATGTTGAATTTTATTTTACATTTATGTTGCATATAGATTTTCTGGTTCTGCTTATTTTACTTTGCACCAGTTTTCTGTCCTTCCCTATTTTTTTCTGAATTCTCATATTTATAATTTTTCACAGTAAAAAAGATTTTATAAAGAAGGAAGACCAATCATATAGGTTAGTTAGTTACTGATGTGTTCTCGATTGCTTTTGGGAAGGAATAATAATAGCATCTGTGATTTTTTTACAATTGTTTGGTATTTTTCCTTCTTTGAAAAATCAATCCATTAATGCTTTCAGAATTATATAACCTCCAGAATGTCTTTCCTCTGTGTGTATATTGTCTGGCTGAGTCATGTTTTCTAACTTATTTTTCTCAATCACCATTTCTACCTTTCCAAATAGGACATTAATTACTGAGATGTAACCAGGTGATTGCTGAATTCAGTTCTGGTGGTTCCTTTGCTCTTGATAGTGAAACTAGAATGGTGTAGAAATACTGGCATATCTGTTCCATTTTGCTTCTGTTTGTTGACCCCCTTATATTTATCTGCTAAAAACACTCAGTATGTAACCTGGCTTGCTTGGATGTCACACCACCATATCTAAAGGCAATGAGAAAGATAGTTACTTGATCAGCTCACCCTGAAAGACACATGAAGAATATAAACAAAGACTATCATGAAGATAATTGAAATTTATGCTTCCAAACTGGTTATAGAGGGTGAAGCAGTAGAGGAATCCTACGAAGAACCTGACAAGATCTTCAAAGTGAGTCGGTATAAGCTTTGGTATTTGGTGACTTCAATGCAAAGGTCAAGAGAGTGAAAAATACGACAGAAAATATTGTTCAAGATTAAGAAATAAAAAAGGCCCAAACTTTACACTTGCATATTATTAATACTTCCTTCAAGAAGGGACGCACAAAGAGCACCAAATGATGTAAGAAAATGAAATTGACTGTATCTTAGCTGACAGGTTAACTGGCTCCTTAGATGAAAATAATTTCTGAATCAGCTGTCAGTGTGCAGCGAGAGCAAAGGTCAGAATCAACAACAAATGAGAAGAATAAAGATGAGATGTATTACGACACCTGAAATCTGACCTATTCTTTCAAGCTGCTTACACTGAAAAAAGGGGAAATAGATAAAGATACTGACTTTGACTGTCATTATCCATTACAGAAGTTTAACTAATACAAAGCAGTCACTACAACGAGGAGGTCAAAGGAGTCTAGGAACTATTTCAGGGAGCACTTGATCTCCTTTGCAGGTGAAGAGATGCTGAGTCAAGGGCAACACTAGTTTGGGATACAAACTTATTATGGAAGGGTATGGTGGGATCAAGGTGGAATTGCCTCATTAAAAAAATGTAAAGGAGGGGAAAACAAGTCTTGCATATAATAAGGGCTCATTAAATTTTTGTTGAACCGTTAAAATGATTGAAAACAACTTATTGAACACCTTCTATGTGCCAAGAACTGTGATATATGATTTACGTTTTCCTCTTGAGATCATTATACAGGTTGTCCTGAAACCCTTAGTGCAATCTTAAGCTATTAAAACTTAAAACTATTTTTTTTAGGCAATTAGGGTTAAGTGACTTGCCCAGGATCACACAGGTAGTAAGTGTCAAGTGTTTGGTCTGAGGCTGAATTTGAACTCAGGTCCTCCTGATTTCAGGGCCGGTGCTCTATCCCCTGCGCCACCTAGCTGCCCCTAAAACTTAAAACTACTAAAGCTTTAAACTGCACTAAGATTTTTTTAAATGGCCAACGTGTATGTGTGTGTGTGTGTGTGTGTGTGTGTGTGTGTGTGTGTGTGTGTGTGTGTGTATGTGTGTGTCCTCTGATAGAATGGAAATCATAAGAACCGTCCGAAAGCTGAAAACTGTGGAATATTGTCAATAAGGGGATTGGGACAGGCAAAAGGTCATGTTGGGATGGTGGGGAGTATATAAAAAAATATTGGGAAGTTAAGAGTAGAAAGAAATCTAGAATCTTAGGCTTTCATGCACTTAATAATAGATCTCTTAACCTGCAGAGATAACTATTAATCCTTGTCCAACTCTCTGCCCCGTTAGAAAAAAAAAAGTAGAATTTGGGCAGAGGAGTGAGCGCAGGCAAACTTCAATGGCTCAGTGATGACATATCACAGTATCAATCATTCTAATCACTTACTAGAAAGATCTTACAAATGAATGAATCAAGCTGCAAAATAATGCATTGTTAGGAAATTAATAAGAAATCCAGAGAGAGTAAGTAGACATTTGAACAAAACTATGCCCTTTGAATTCTATTTTGGCTTTTAATAAATATCTCAAAGGACTTTATTTAGAAAATAAGAGAGGGTAAATATGTTTGCATATAAAATCATAAAAAAGAATTTGTTCTGAAATAAAATATTGCGTGAATATGTGTGGCATTTTTTATTGCAACAATATGTTCACTTCAGACAGATTACTGAAAAACATTTTTCTGGAAATGGCTTGTTGGTTTATCAGAAGTCGTCTCCACCTTTAACTTGGCTAGAATGGATTTCACAAGAGCCATTACGAAGAATAGATGAACAGGATATAGTACCATTTCATTTCCTTTTCTCTAAAGTTTTGGGAGAGAGTGTTGAAGTGCCAACATCATAATTACTAGGCTTAATGGGCTAGTAATGGGCCCTAAGAAAGCATATGGAGGTGTCACCCACTGTAGAATGGAAGTGGTCATTTATGAGATGGAAGGATTGTGGCTGGTGCTACAGCTTGTGCCTCAGCTACTTTCAACCATTCTACCATCCTTTTCTGTAGTTAGTCAAACATTTATTAAGCTCCTACTATGTGACAGGCACTGAGCTAAGCACTGGAACACAGTAGAAAGGAAAAGTGATCACAGTTTATCATATAATAATGTGTATATGGATATGGCTACATATACATATACAATATATGTGTATATCTACATACACACACGCATATATATATATACACAGATACATAGATAGATAGACAGATAGACAGATGATAGATAGATAGATAGATAGATAGATAGATAGATAGATAGATAGATAGATTCCCTCCCCCCAGATCCAGTTGTTAAACATTTACCAGCATACCGCTGGGTAGTATGTGTGCACGTATAGACAGATATAGACATAGGATATATACACACTTATACATGTATATTTATATACGCAAAACACACACTCATTATACATATATGTATACATGTTTATGTGTATGTATACACATGTATTATATAAGCAACTGTGACCACTTTTTTGCATATGCATGTATATCCCCCCTGAGACCCAGTTGTTTTACCAGCACATCCCTGGGTAATGTGTGGGTATGTGTGTGGGTATAGATAGATATAGATATATGCAAGTATATTTATATATACAATACACATATTATACATATATGTACACATGTTTGAATGTGTATTTATACATACATATACACATACACACTATATATATACATATATATGAAAGAGATCTTATCTATTGAGCAATAGCAGAGATAGATTTGATGTTTTTCATTGCCTGCCTTGCTAAAGACTATTAAAAAAAATCCAACTGTACATGAAGCCTATTTACAATAGAAAGCAATTATGTTATGTAAAGCAAAACCCTTCAGAAATATTATCTGGTGGCCAGGATTTTATTAACGTTATATTGTTGAAGATGAGTAGAAGCTATCCCCAGGGGTTTGCTTGTAAATTGTTTAACAACTGGATCTCAGGAAAAACAACCTACTCAGGACACACTTTTAAGTTTAATCTGCATTATTCACTCTTCTCCCTCACTTTCTTAAGTCTAGACAATCAATTGAACAATACATCAAAGCACTAATGTATAGCCTTTGATGATTTCTGAGGTGTAAATTCTCACACCGAAATTTCAATAATCAGCTCTTGTCAAAGCAGTAGGAGCTAGCTCCTGAACCTACCTGTTGTCTTTTCACAAGGATTCCATATGTCCTTCAAAGTCAGTAACTAAGTCATACATTCATATGAGGGAAAGATACCATCTTAAGTCTTTGTAGCTCAAAGCACCAACTTAGTTTTTTTCTACGTGTTTTTTGGTGAATAAAACAAACGTGGCTGGCGATTCTTTCTGATCAACAAGATGGACCCAGCTGTGTTCAGGCTCTCTCTAGTTATATAGCTCTTAAATAAAATATTAGTTGCTGAAGAAAAAGAAGACTTACCATTGGACCTGGTGGACCGTGGGGGCCTGGTGGGCCTGGTGGGCCAATGATCTATACATTAAAAATAAAATGTGTTTATTTCTTTCAGAAAAGTTAGACTGAATCCCTGTAGTTTGCATCTCTCATTATTAGAATAGGGAGAAGGGCCTTGCAGGAAAGTGATGCATTAAATTCTCTATGTTTTAGATTCCTTCCATCAAATACCAATTAGTCCAAAACAGGAAACAACCAATTATTAAGAAATACCACAAATGCTACAGCTACTGCTCTATTTTCAAATAATCCAATGAGCAAAAACATGGCTCTAGAGAAAACTGGAAGTATGTTCTGCTTTCAGAATTCTACCCACAAGCAGTGATGGAAAGCCATTGATTTTTTTTTTCCTTGGAGTTAGACAGCCCTCTGAAAAATTACTTCCAACCTGTTCTCCTGAGACACCCATTGTACAAGGCTGACAGAAATTTCCTTTACAGTTTGACACACCAAGACATTAGCAGTTCCTACAGTTGTTAAACCATCTGGTGCAGGTCTGGGCTCAGTAAATGGAAGACCTGTTTTCCAGTGTTTTATGGACAACCACAGGAATACAACCGCAATGAACTTACAGAAGGTCCCTGTGGCCCCGGTAAACCAGAGTCTCCTTTTTCTCCTTTCATGCCATTGGCACCCTATGAAGAACATGAAGAAAAATTCACTTTAGTGTACATTACCCCCAAGTAACTGGGACCACCTGGGCTAATAGCAACTGCTATAATATTATACTATAATATTATAATATACTATAGAAACGGGCATTATAATATACTATAGAAACAGGCAGCTTATTTTCAGAAGGATCACAAAATTATGTACATTCAAAACACAAATAGTATCATCTCCTCTCTATGTTTAAACATCTTATTGAAAACTCCAAGTTCTCTTGGGACATATCAATAAAAAATACAGTAGAGATTCGATTTTTGTATTTTGCTCAAAATTTACTTAAATATTTCTCTAAATTGCAAATGAACACCTCACCTCCTAGGTTTTCCAATTAATTTAAATATGTTTGCAGACTACCTATACTTTTTTTCTTTTTCGTTAGAAGCTGATCTTCATAATTTAACGCTCTTTTACAAGAGCATGTGACAGGTACTGTACCCTAGGTGCTGTGGACACAAAGACAAACAAACACCAAAATAATCCCTTTCCCCAAGCATCTTCCATTGTACTAGAAACTTGATTAGGAATCTCCTTTGCCAGATCCTCTCCTAGATCCTACCTTTCAACCATGAGTGTCCCTTAGGGTTGTCTCGGTCCATCTTTACTTTCTGCCCATTTGATTGTCTTCTCTATCCTGAGAATTCTTAAATCTACCTATCTGGCCCCAGTCTCTCTGCTGACCTCCGTCCTTGCATCTCCAGCTGCCTTTCAGATATCTTGAACTGGACATCTGTCTAGTGGACATCTTAAAATAAACATGTTCAAGACCAAACTCATTATCTTTTCCCCTAACGTCTCCACCTGTACCATCAAGTCAACAACATCCTCCCAGTCCTTCAGACTCCCAAGGTACAGGTCGTTCTCAGCTCCTCACTATCTCTCACTCCCCTCCCCCATACCCAATCTGTTACCAAGACCTTGCAATCACCTTTGCAACATGTCTCAAATACACGTTCTTCTCTTCTCTGATACTGCCATCACTCTGATGCAGGCCCTCCTTAATTCACTCTTGGACAACTGCAGAAGCTTGTTGGTGGGTCTCCTTAAGCCTTAGTCCGTATCACATACTCTTTAATCCAGTGACAATGATCTCCTTGCTGTTTTTTTCCTTGAACAAGACACTTCATCTCTCAGATCTGGGTATTTTTTCTGGCTGTCTCTCATACCTGCAATGTTATCCCTCCTCATCTCCACCACCTAGTTTTCCTGGTTTCCTTCAAGTCTCAGCTAAATTCCCATTTTCTCCAGGAAGTCTTTCCCAACCTCTCTTAATTCTAATACTTTCCCATTCATTATTTTCTATTTACCTTGAATATAGTTTGTTTGCATATATTTATTTGCTTAGATTGTGAGTTCCTAAAGGGCAGGAACTGTCTTTCACCTCTTTTTGTATCCCCAGGACTTAACACTGTGCTTGGCACATAGTAGATAATTAATAATTTTTTTTTACTAAAATAAGAACCTCCATATAATCTTATAAGTGGCAGTCACTCTATTATTGATTGTACATCAAATCTAAACTCCATTCACCCCCTGATGAAAAGGATTTTACCCAAATTATCACTGCTAATTTGACAAGCATTTCACAGGAAAAAAAGGAGAGAAGTCTTTCCATAAACTTCAATTATACATCTACTTTTCCTACAAATCATATAAATTCTCAGGAAGGGTTTTTTGTTTGTTTGTTTTAACACATTTACAACGGAGTACCAAAATGCTCTTCGCCCCCCTACACCAGCCTCCATTATTAGGTACTTTAAAAACAGATTTATTTTATGCCTCTAGTTGACTTCCTGACATCTATTTGTCAAGTTTCTAAGGGGACTAATTAACAGGAATGTGGCCAAGCAAGGTTTTTCATTATTTCCTCCAATGAGCATGATTTAGAAAAAATGGGGAGGTTGTATTCTCTGATCAGTTAGTTGGATTCCTACAGAAAGTCAGCATGGCACAGTGCTAGCCTGTTCTCTAGTCCAGAGGACTTGGTTTTAAATTCCACCTGAGACACTAGCCATGAAAGTTTGTTATGAACTCTAAGATCTTCAGTTTTCTCATCTGAAAATGGGGATAATAATAGTACCTATCTCAGAGAGTTGTTGAGAGGATCGAGTAAGAAAGTGCATGGTAAGGTGCTTTGCAAGCTTATGTTTGAACTCCCCTCAGAGGGGAAGTGAACTTGGAGCTGACAGACAGGCAACCCCCAGCATTCTGGTGAATTCTGTCTGTCCATAGGTTTCTACAGAGTTACCCCTCCCACCCACAGCCACCTTGGTTTGGAGCATCATTATCATTACAGATGTTTGACAATACAATCTAGTATTCAGAGCTGGGGTAATAAATCAATACCCTCACCCTTCCACAGAAAAATCGTGTTGTTATCATTCTGGTTCTTGATGCTGACAAGTAATTTTTCCTAGTGATTTGATATTTCCTGATCTGGAAGTTAGCACGCACATGTGCATGTATACACACACACACACACACGCACACACATGCACACACACACTACTCCCCAAACCTTTATGTATACATACTCACCGGTAATCCAGGAAGTCCAATTCCTCCCTTTTCACCTGGCTGACCTGAATCCCCCATGTCTCCCTTTGAGCCTTTAGGACCCTAAAACATATAACAAATCATATGGACACCTGTTAGTCAGATCTTGGGTTAGGCATATTTCCAGAACAGCTGTCTCAACAGGCAGGTGAACAAAGACCTTTTTTTCCCCCTCAATGCTGGAATGACTATAATGATTATGATTCTGAATGGTCATATCCAGACCCCAGTAAAATTGCAAAGGCATGGACTCATAGAATGTCAGAGTTGGCATGTAGCTTAGAGACCATCTAATCCACCTCTCTCATTATATAGGGGAGGAAACTGTGAGACATAGAGAGGAGTGACTTTCCTGGGGTCACACATCTAGACGATGCTTTTATTACTCCCATTGCAGAAAGCCCATAAAAAGCCCATCAAAACTGCTTTTCTCATTTAAAGGAAGACCCAAAAGTGCTTTGCTCATTCCAGTGAAGTATGAAAAACGTGACATGGGGTGGTGGCAGACTGTGCCCTGATATTTGACTTCACTTTTGAAACTTGGCATTGTCACCGTTTATGGGAGCAAGGAGATCAGCTTAAATTTCAACAGGGTAACTCTCATTTGTTACACAATTGGATAGGACACTAGGGACTGGACTTGTGATTTCAACGGAATAAGGAATCTCCCAGATGAAGAAACTCTCTCTCTCTCTCTCTCTCTCTCTCTGTCTCTCTGTCTCTCTGTCTCTCTGTCTCTCTGTCTCTCTCTGTCTCTGTCTCTGTCTCTCTCTCTCTCTCTCTCTCTGTCTCTCTCTCTCTCTGTGCAAGTTGGCACATCTTCTGCAACACAGAGTCTTAGAGAGTCACCTAGAGTGCTGAGATGCCACATAACTTGTCCCTGGTCAGATAGCCAGCATATTTCAGAAGTAGAACTTGAATCCTGGTCTTCCTGGCTCCAAAGCCAGTTTTCTCTATACTACTTCATGTTGCCTGTCATAAAACTGGGTGCCAATTCAAAATTAAAGATCAAATATGTCTCTATTTTTTTCTTGTTGATATTCAGTTGTGTCCAACTCTTCATGGCCCCATTTGAGGTTTTCTTGGTAAAGATAGATAGTGGAGTTGCTTGCCATGGCCTTCTCCAGCTCATTTTATAAATGAGAAAATTGAGGCAAATAGGGGTAAGTGACTTTCCCAGGGTTACACAGCTAGTAAGTGTCTAAGGCCAGATTTGAATTTACGAAGATGAATCTTGCTGACTCTAGGCCTGGCATTCTGTGCCATCTTACTGAGGTTTTTTTTTTAAAGTGCAAGTAAATATTGTTGACATTATTCATTGAAATAATCAATTCCCCTTGCTGCTACAAAGTTTACTAGCCCCCAAATGCTTAATGATGTTTCTCATTTGTCATTAATGCTCCTCCTAAATGGTTTTTTTCATGTACCTTATCTAATTTTATCCTCTTCACAGTCCTTTGAAATAGGCAGTGCAGACATTATTCTACCTATTTTACATATAAGAAATGGATAAGTTTGTCTTTCATCATGCTGAGAGGATCACTGGATCATAGCTGCAGACAACCAGCACTGAAGCAATTTCCTTTGGGAAAGAATTGTCATCAACGAACTGTCCCTGGTCAAGTCCTGATCAGACTAGAGATGGCAGGCATGCAGCCAGAAGGAAGTGTTCATTTCCTTTTAGGAAGCATCATAGATGCTATGCCATAGCCTCTGAAACTACAGAAGTGTCCTTCTCTAGGTTCTAAGCAACTGAAGGACAAGAATAGTCTTTCCTTATTCTTTACCTGGCTTTATAACACCTGGTACAGAACCATGCATGTAACTTAATAAATTGTCACAAATGAATCAACAATTATGAAGGAATCTGTTGGACCAGTGTTTTCATAGTTTATGGATCAGTCTGATCTTAACTGTATCTAGAAATCTTATCCTAGTGTGATTTCCCTAAGTGAGACTGGATGATAGAAACACAACAAATATTTGTGAATAAATTACAAATAGGAACAGGTTCCTACACAGACCCTAGGACAGCCAAGCTATCATATCGAGGTGGTATGATCTTTGGTTTTCAATGCTGGCATATCTTTACATCTATCCTTGGTAATTATTGACAGTGAAGATCATTAATACTAAGTTTTTGTTTTGTTTTTATCTAGACCTGTGATTTCATTTATGTAGGAAACTAACTACCAGTGAGGAAGTTCCTTTACTGATAGCAGTTAGGTGGTGCAGTAGATAGATACAATGCTGGACCTGGAGTCAGGAAGACCTGAGTTCAAATCAGCTCTCAGGCACTTACCAGCTATGTAACCCTGAGCAAATGATTTAACCTCTGTCTGCTCCAGTTTTCTTATGTGTAAAATGGGCATAATAATAGTACCAGGCTTTCTGTGATGATAAGGGGGTAGCAAAAGGTAAGGGAATAAGCATTTATGTAGCCTCTACTAATGTGCCAATCACCATATGTTCTTCACAAATATTTTATTTGACATTCACAATAACTATAAAATGAAACAATATTTATAAAGTGCTTTGTAAACCTTAAAGCACTACATAAATGTTAAGTATCATTATTATCATCATCGATGAGATAAGTAACTTCTACTGCCTATAGTCTATGAGAGTTTCCAGGGACCACCGAAAGGTTAGATGATTTGTTCAGAGTCATAAAACTAACGTGTCAGGGATGAGACTTGAACCTCTGAATGACTCAATCTAAGGCCAGTTCTCTATCCACCATGGAGCTGTCATTATAAGATGCAATAAAGCTATCCTAAAGATGAAGTCCTCTTCTAAGACTAGTTGAAATAGGAACATGATTCTTTAAAAAAAAAAAAATCAAATGTGACAAGACAGTGATGCATACAGGAATGAGCGTTGCACTTGAACACCAAAGACCTGGGTTTTAATCCAAGATCTGATGCTTGAGACTATAGGCAAGTCACAGAACCTCTTTGAGATTCAGTTTTCTCATCTGTAAAATGGAAATAATGTGCTCTATTGAAAAGGTCTCTGGGATGGAAAAAAGGAAACCTGAGTTCTACCAATGAGCTTTGTGACCTGGGACAACTCCTTTTTCCCCCTCTCTGCTTCATGTCCACAAGTTCCATGTTCCATCCATGCTAAAAAGAATAGGGTTGGACTAGATAATTTCATGATTTCACTCAGCTCAAAGACTATATGACATATATAACATATTATGAACATCATTCTTAAAATAGAGAGCAATATAGGGTCTGCAAATGGTACCCAGTACAATGATACCGAGGGCCATTGGCACAGAACATCTAAAAAAATCATTTCTTCCTTAATTTGTTACTGAATGAAAAGGGTTTGTTCAAATGATATGGCATCTAAATCTTGATATGTTATTTTGTCTTTTTCACTTTGATCCAAGGCCTGCCTATTTCATAAGGTTGTTGAGGCCAAAGCATTAATGTAAAATTATTACACAAGTACAAAGTGACATTGATACCAAAGAGAGGAAACATGGTGTAGTGGTTAGAAGACCTCAGTTCTAATACCATTTCTGATGCTTATTAGCTATGTGACTGTAGACAAGTTATTTAATCTCTCTGAGCTAGGGTGTCTTCATATGTTAATGGGAATAAAAATAATACTGTCCTGTCTGCCTCATAGAATTGTATGACTCCATATGCTGTGAAGCTTTTTTTTTTTGCAAATACCTAAGTGCTACATAAAGAGCAATTATTATTACAAAAAATAAAATAATTTACAGATTATAACCATTATTATGTCTAATGTTAAAGCATCAAATAAGTTATATTTTCTGAAATCAAATATGATCTTGAAATAAAATATGATTAATTTAAAATGATGACTAAAATAAATAATTTCAAATCATTTGTCAAACTGTGTGATGGTCATGGACCAGGTTTTATGGATCTTAAGTTCCTGTCTAATAATGAAAATAGAAGTAATGGTACAACAGCAACAGCATAGATGATATACTTGGGATATACCTGTTCACCATCAACTCCTGGTGTTCCCGGAGATCCTGGCTCACCCTGTTAAAAAGGAAAAATTAACAGTGTTTCCCTGGTCTCCATTCATCATTTGCTTCGCTAAGTAACAACACACTCTAACCTATCAGATGGAATAAATTAGAATGATCCAAATCAGAACCGGATAAGAAATTCTGACATCATAACACATGTTGAACTTGGGAAGTGGGAATTTTTGAAAATCATTCACTTCAGTGCTTGCATATAGTAGCTAGGACCCAATGCTACATTTGTGACAATAGAACTAGGCTAAATATTTGCAGTAAGAGTAAACTCATCAAGGAAATTTAAAGGCAGGTCAGGCCATGCCCTACAGCAAAAATCTATAAGCCTGAGTTAAGTTTTTTTTTTACTTCAAAATCCTCTATACTCTCTCTTGGCAACCCAGGGTTGGAACAAAGTCAAGCACTGACATTTTCCCAAAGCATAATAAGCGATGCTTCTTGAATTTACAACTCTATTTTAATTGGCACAGTTTTCCTTTGTTTTGAGACTAGGTCTCCCTCTTCTCCAGGCTGGAAGAACAATGGCAACTCACAGGCATGGAAGCTCTGATTTGCTCTGTTTCCTACCCAGGATGGCTCTCACTACCTTAGATAACCTGACATCCCTGCCTCCCTTTGCTGGGGCCTTACTATATTGGGTTAAACTTAGTACCCTTAGCCTACTGCAGCTCAGAACTTCAGAGCTCAAGCAATCCACCAGCCTCAGCCTCCCTAGTAGCAGCTATCAGAGGACACCGCCATTCCCCAAACTGGCACTCTTTTAAATACTGATTGCAAAATGATAACCAGTGTGAATATGTTGTTATTTAAGAGTTATAATTATTGGAGAATACAATAAATGAAAGAACATGTGGTTATAAAATTACTTCTAGGTAAATTTAACATCCTACACTATGCTAGGAAGGAGCTACTATTTACAGTTCACATTATGTTGGTATTTCTTGATTTACTTTATGCTACAAGTAGAATGATTTATATTTTTTAATTGAAGCCATTGAAAATATTAACTTGTGCCTCAGACACCAGACCAAGGTTTATTTAATTTACAGACATCTGGTCATATTTCATTTGGAAAGACAATAAGATTTCATGAAAGGTCTGATAATATTTATTATGGAGATAGTGTTTATGTGAAAAACAATTTCATAGGCTGTACATACTTATTATGTTTTAGGGAGATGTTTTGATGTGCCGTATATATTTGAATCTGTATCATAAGACATCATCTATTAAATTCTATGGATCAGATTCTCTGACAATCATCCATAACTATCTACAAGTGAACTTTCTAGAGCTTAAACGATCTGCCAAACAGACCATTTTTCAAGGAAGTGGGCTCAAGTTTGTATTTTGTAGAAAGATTTGGTGTGATGGAATAAGAAACCACAAGATGAAATGACTAAAGCTGCTCTCATTGATTGAAAAACAAAAGAAAACAAAACTGAGTTTTGTGGGCTACAACATAATTTTAAAGCTTTTCAGGGCTTATTTGGGAAAGTATGAAATTGAACATACGAAATCCATATGAGGAGAAAAGGGCTGTTTTATTTTGGAGTTCTTTCTCTCTATTATAGTAGCAAAGTATAGTTGAACACAAATGGCATGGAATACTGTTAACAAGGTGAACTGGTCAGGTCCTAGCTTTGTTCACTGACTAAATAGCACTCAGTGCTGTCACTTTGGGCTGGATAATGATTGTTTTTCTAAGCATTTATCCCTTTAAATGTTTAACCCCATATGTTTATAGGGAAATGTAATCCACATGTATGAATTGATTGACCCTTCACTCACCAGAATTTTGTAATTTGACATTCAAGAATTCAGAAAGTACGATTTTGCCAAGAAACAAAATGCTGAATGAAACCAAAATAGATGGCAATTTAGTTGAACTCCAAAGTGGAAATGGTTACTAAGCACGATCAAATTATTTCATTACTTCTAATGCAACATGAAAACTTTTTGAAACTCTATACCCAATACATGTAGGGTATTCAGCTGAAAATGCCTTTGTATTTCCTGTCTACCATATCACCATCACAACATCCCTAGTCATGCACTGAATCACATGGCACATCTGCTTTTAAACACACAAAGATGGCATCGTGCCCTTGATGATGGAAGATTTTAGCAAGTAGAGAGCCTTTAAATGCATAAACAAAGTGGTTTGAATGATCACGAACAATTTAATGACAATTAAGGAGACACAACCAGAATCCTGCACATTCAGAATTGAAGTGATACTTTTTTTTAAAAAAATGTCAGATTCCTACTTTAGTTCATTGATTAAATTTCACCCCTTGTTTCTGTCTCTGTTTTTCCCACTGAAACTACTGCTGACCTTCAAGGATCCTGTCTACTTTGGAGAACTATGCATGGATACATGTACATATTGCTAATGGAAACAAGTAAAATAAAAGATAACCTTTGGTCCCTGCAATCCTTGTGGTCCAGGAGGTCCTGGGGGTCCCTAAATCAAGAAAGGAACATAGATGTCAAAAATGAGAGCAGGATTAGGTACCAAAACAACTCTAGAAAGCAGCTAGTACACAAACATTACACACAAAAACAATGATTGTGATAAAAACTGATTTACAGCTTGGAATAATCCTACAGGGCATTAACAGATCGCTAAGTTAGGAGAGCTCTGTAATTACATATGTTAATGATAAACACAAACATTTAGGTCAAAGTAGCAATGGGAATTCTTTGGCAATGGAGGTTTGCCACTAGGCTCTGGATTCATTGTTTTAGGACACTCAGCCTATAAATATTTACTTTTCTGGATGTTCCCTCCCTCTAAGCCAGATTTTATGATCCTTTAAGGCCATAGCTGTGACATTTAATAATAAGTTTCCACTGGCTTCATCTCATAATATAATCTCCATGTTTTAGCCATGTTTTCTTTTATAAGGTAAAAGAGACTTTTTTTTTTCCTGCCATGAGATAGAACTTAGTATAATTCAACCAGGGCTAGCATGATGTAGGAGTTTATTACCATGAGGAAACCCAGAGATAAATATCAGGAAATAAGAATAATAGAGGAGTACCATTATGACCAACATGCAACCACACAGAAGAGACACATTTATGAACTGGAGGAAAACATGCAATAGGAATTACCGTGACAGTTAAGGTAGTAATCCTCTGTTGGAAAAATGCATTGACAAGACAATGTTATCACTAAGGCAGATTGAAATATACTACTACTTTTGCTTAATAATGAACTCTTCTGAGGATGCACAGAAAGATGAGTATGTCCTGTATCACCAACTGCCTATTAGACATTTCAAATTGGATAAGTTGACATCTCAAACTCACCATCTCCAAAACAGCACTCATCATTTTCTCCTCCCAAATCCATCCCTTTTCTGAATTTCCCTATTGCTGTTGAGAGCATCACCATTCTCACAATCACCCGGGCATGCAAAACCTTGGTATCACCTTCAATTCCTTAGTCTCATTCACACATATACAGTCTGTTCCCAAGTCTTGTAATTTCTTTCCCCATAACATCTCTCACATTTATCCCCTTTATGATACAGTCACCACTCCAGTTCAGGCTCTCATCACCTTTCATCTGAACTATTGCAGTAGACCCCCACTTGGTCTCCCTACTTCAAGTTTCTCTTTACATTAATCCTCCTCACAGCTGCTAGTGATTTTCCTCAAATATAGGTTTGATCAATTCATGCCCATCCCCCAAACTCAATAAATTCCAATGGCTCCTTATTACCTCTAGAATCACATACAAAGTCATTTGTTTTGCATTAAAAGCTATTCACAACCAAATGCTAATCTTCTCAGTCTTTTAACAATCCACTCCTTTTCTCCTACTCTATACAGTTTTATGTTTTAGTAGCTTAAAAACTGCACCAAAACTTTTAGAACACTGTAGATTTATCTTAATATGCTAATTCATACAGATGTTAACTCTCCCGTTAGAAAACAAAGAATAAAAATTAAAAAATTAAAATAAAAAAATAACAAAAATTAAAATCAAGGGAAATAGTTAAATATGAAAAGCCAACAGGACTATGGAGGAGGGACAGTGTCTAGAGAGAAAAAGGAATAAAAATTCTTGCCATCAGATCCTCCCTCTGACACACAATGTATGACCCTGAACATGTCACTTAACCTTCTTAGTGCACCTAGGTACTTTCTAAGAATAGAGGTCAACATGCTTTGACAAAAAGAATTCCATAAGTGGAAGTTCCTATACTGATGAAAATTATAGGTTTATAACCAAAAAATATTTAAAATGAGAAAGTTGTGTTTTAGGTACAGGGGAGCACTGGTTATTTCCTACCTCTAAAAATACATATGTAGTATGGAAGTTTGTTATTACAACCACCAGCATGAGAGAACCTTGACATTTACTGAGTTTCTTTCTAGGGAATCTTGCAATAGGGAATTCCATTTTTGCTATATTACAATGATCATCAATGCCCATTTTCTCTCCTCTTGGGCCTTTTGGGTACCTTGATTAAGCATGTGAATTAATAGAGTAAAGCTGCCACATACTGATTATAATAGTACGGAGAGAGTACAGTAACAAAGCAAAATTATGCTACTTGAGGAGGGAGTGTGAGCTGGCATGGCTCAGTGTGAATATTTAAGCCTGCAAATCACAACTCCAAGAGGATTGATTGTTTCCTGTAATAGCTTTATTGAGTCTGCTTCCTCTTCAAAAGTTCTGAAGAAAACCACTTGGGAGAAAACTCTTCAGTGGCTCTGCTTGCTATCAGAATAACTGAATTTCTTCATCTCTAAAGCCCTGGCTTAGAGGACCCAGAAGGTCTATTGATTCTCATTATTTTAAAAATCCATCCTGTAATCTTAGACTTTGCTGAGACCTGGGGTTTGCTTCCTGGTGTTTATCTGGAGGACTTGTGAAAGTCATTTTTTAAAAATCTTTCTCTGACCTATATTTCTCACTTGCATCTCAGAATTGCAGGAAACTTACAAATATCATTATTTTTTAAAAAAAATTTTTAATCCTCTTTCTTGGTTTGGGTATTTGATTCTCAGTATCATTCTTGATCTTGATATTTAGCTGAGAAATAGCTGTGGTGTAGTAGGTAGAGAGAACCAAACTTTGAATCATGAGGATCTGACTTCAAGTCCTGCTTTCGACACTTTTTGGCTGTGCCACCCCTCAGGCACCTCTCTAAGAATAATACAAGGTGTCCCCAAAAGTCTTACTACAATTTTAAGTTATTAAGGCTTGAAATTGCACTTAGATTTTTGGGATACATTGGATAAGTTGTAGAACAAGTATCACTATATAGGAAATTTCATCGCCACAGGTTCCCTATAAAATGAGATTATAGGTTCAGTCCAAATGAACTATATGTGGCACAGGTGGTAGGCCAGTCATGGGAGTAGTCCATATACTTCCTTAGTATCTAGACAGTGTCAGGGGATATAGAGTAAACCCATTGGGCCATTGGGAAGACCCCTCTGTGGGCAGTTTCTGTAAGGCTATGGATAAGAGTCAAGGAGGTTGAGAGGGCAATGGATGGATTGCAGTTCGCATTTCTAGAAGGAGTAAAAACATTGGTGAGATCTCAGATTCATCAAAGTAGTATTTAATTAAACAACCCTAACAAGTCTCTCAGTGACATCATCTCTATAATAAAATTGATTGTGTTCATTTCAGCCTTGATCAAAAACATGACAGGTGATTAAACCTATACACCTCTGAGATAGAAAATGGCTATAATTAAGAATTCAGTTTAAAAAAAAAACCCATACAAATACAGTGTTTCAGCAAATATGAGAATGGACAATACTGATGATTCTGGAAGAGGTTACCTAGGAAAGAACTGCCTGGACTGGTTTTGTAGATACTAGGGGCACAATTCTTAGTTCCTTCATTTTAAATGACTGTTTTTTGTTTGTTTCAAAGAAGCAATTAGAAAATGAGAGAGAGAGAGAGAGAGAGAGAGAGAGAGAGATCATTCTTTAAAATGTTACTTTTAAACAGGAAAACAGAATCAAAACCAGAGGGTGGAGAGGAGAAATAATCTAGTCCATCTGCCTTTCGTAATATTTAAACAAAACCAAGCAGATGAACAGATAGCACATATAAATCACATTTTCTACCTAAACTTGAAAATATTTTTCTTACCTTTCATAAATATGATGGTGTTTTTTTTCTTTTTTTTTGAATAGTTTTATGAGTTGCCTAATGAATGATATACCTGATAATCTGAAAATGTTGCTTGTAGAAGCTGATGCTAACAACTGAAACAGCTAACAGATTGCCTTGAAAACAGCAATATAGTTAAGTTTCCATGGTCTTGAATAGGCTTGAAACTTATGCAGGGCAATTTACTGTTCATCCTGCTAACTTACAGGACAAATGACCAGCAATGAAGCCAGCTTCACAGGTCTGCTGTTTTTATGGTCACCTGGAAGCGCCCACATGCAACCACACGGTGCATCCTAACACCTGCAACTAAATATGCATTTTCTATCTAGTCCTGTAAAGTTGAAGATACATAAACCCAGCAGGGTTCTCTCTTGAACTCTGGTAGTAATTTGAAAACCATGGCTTTCAGTGGTGATAGAATAAGAAGTCTTGTTCTCTCCAGTGAGACATGAAATGAAATGGGAAGCATGAACTACAGCAAATATAAATTGGCTTGAGCCAGCCAGGCTGTTCGGTAATTTATTCCCCAAGAACTCCCACGTGAAGCCCTTTAGAATCAAAGGCTGTTTTGTCCCCTGTGTCCCATAATGATGCCAGATTGAAATTACCTATCACTGATTCTGCCTTACACCTGAAGAAGAGGTACAGTTTATGAGAAATATTAAAGCTTACGTTAGGAAGCAGAGGGTTTTTTATTGCTAATTGCTCGAAACTTAACTGCCTGGCAAATTAAAATGAAAACAAATGTCTGGAGTGCAGGCTATGGAATGAAATGATGTATAATCATTTGGCTTTATATTATCAATGTGGTACCTTGTAAATATACTATATCTTGTACATTTTTCAATAATAGCTAGCATTTATAGAGTGCCTTAAGGTTTGCCCAGTGTTGTACGTATGGACCCATTTGATCCTCACAATAACTCTGTAAGAGAGGTGCTATTTTTGTTCCTATTTTACAGATGAGGAAACTGAGGCACAAAGGTATTAAATGATTTGCCCATGATCACACAGCTAGGGAATGTCTGAAGCAGGATTTAAACTCAGATCTGACTCCAAGTGTTCTAATCTGCTATGCTACTTGCCTTTGAAGGACATGTGATGTTATACTCTTCATTTATGCGTATAAATTGTAACCTATTCATGTCTGAAATTCTTTTTTAAATCTTTCCATAAATTCTCTGTGGAGGAGATATCCTACATATTAGTGTTCTTCTAGGCCTTTTACTGTTCCCAAAATATGAGTGACATGTTGGCTGGCCATCTGTTACCCTCACTCTTGTCATGTCCTTTTCTAGTCATACGTGTCTTTGATGGTATCTTATATACTCTTTGTGCATGTGAGACATTGCTGGAAATAGGTTGGAGGATACTTTACCTACATTACATCTCTCTCCATTGTCCTTTGGATAACCCCAAATTTTGCTTTTTTTATACACAGTCACATAAAATCACAAGTATCTGCTGTTCTCTATGCCATCTTGTGCCTCTGTTGCTTACGTAGGCTGGCTAGAACTCTTAATCACTGCCAAGGCTCAGCTTAAATGCCTTCTCTGACAAAGGTTATGACAGCCAAACAAAAACTGTGGACATTTATACCAAGCTAGAAACACTTGAATTATGGTCCAGATTGCTGGACTGCTATCCGAGGACCAACTTAGCTATGCATGAAGGGTCTAACTGCCAGTGGACTGGCCAACAAATAATAAAATTTTTGGCCATGCTAAGCCCTGCAATAGCTACAAATAAAAATTAACCTCCGCTCTGTGTTAGTAATGGAACAGTGAAAAAGGAGGTAGAGGGCACTATGTTCTAGCCAACCTCAACTCTTAGCAGTTCCTGAAATTAATATTTCATTTCCCACCTCTGAATTAGCACAAGCTATTCCCTATGACTGAAATGTACTTTCTTCATTCATTCAAGTGGCTCACATTCCTCTGATATTATAATTTCCCAACGTTTCCTCCTTCTCTCCAGTCTCTGAGTGTGCAGAGAGGAGCCAAGGCAAACCGCTTGACATGTACCCTTGATCCCACCCTTCCTGCCTTCTCTAGCAGATTATTCCTGACATTAGCCTCATCCTCTAATTTTCAGTCCTTTCCTATTCCTTCCCTCCTTCCTAGATGTCTACAAACATAACCAAATTTCTTCCACCCTGAGAAACAAAAAC